TGCGCGACGCGTGGCAGAATAATTAATACCAACGCGTGAAAATACAAGTTTCCAGCGTTCTCGTGGATTTATCGTCTTGATAGCAATTCGTACGGCAGACAAAAACAACGGGATACGATAACGAGCCGACTTTTTCGTTGATGGATCAACGATGAGTGTTGATCCTCTGAAGCTTTTTGGCGAAAGAGAGAGAGAGAGAGAGAGAGAGAGAGAGAGAGAGAGAGAGAGAGCTCCGGAAAACTTGACATTTATGCGACTTAAATGAACATTTTATCATTGCAATTGTACATATTCGTCATTTTCCTCCCTTTACCCACCTCCCTTTTTTTTTCTTTTCCTCGAAGGTTTACATACCCGACTGACAAAATTACAAGAAGCCAAAAACAACGAGCTAACAGAGGGAGTACCCTCGTCATCGTGAATTAAAGTAAAAGGGCAAATGGTGCAGTGGGACGCGGTATTAAAGAGGCTAGGACGTCGGAAGGGGAATGATTAATTGTCCAGCAATCTCTCCCACATAGAGAGAGGGGAGGGGAAAAGAGAGAGGAAAGGGGAAAAAGAACGAATAAGAGAGAGAGAGAGAGAGAGAGAGAGAGAGAGAGAGAGAGAGAGAGAGAGAGAGAGAGAGAGAGAGAGAGAGAGAGAGAGAGAGAGCGGTGAGAGAAAAAGAGAAGGAGAATAAGTGAAAGAGGAAGACAGAGAGAGAGAGAGAGAGAGGGGGGGAGAAGATAAAAACTGCATTCGAGGGCCCAAAAGCAAGCGAAGGTGCGATAGTTCGCGGAATATATCGTACGATCTTAAATGGTGGTGTACATTACACGAACGATATATGTTCCAGGGAAAAACGCCTAAAATGAGAAGCATTTATTATCGACCGCGTTAGCGGCGACGTCAGTAATGCGAAGCAAAAAACTTACATCGCACTCGCAGCAGTTTCGTCGGTTTCCTCCAGTGGAGCGAGGAATTCAATGCGATATGACGAAGAGACGACTTGCGCTACGTTTAATTAGCGAGAGTTGCGTAATGAGCGATAAGAAACTCGTAAAATCTCGGATCCTCTAATAACTTTTCTCAAGAGAGAAAATTCAACGATATCTGTCGCACGCAATCCAATACTAACACGCTTAAATACCACCTTAACATCATGCAGCATTTAAGCGTAATAGACACACAGACGTAACGGAACCGCATTTTCCTCGCGTGAGCTCGGCTAAATTCGAACAACAATTATATTATCTATACCATGCAGATCTTCGGTCGCATTTGTCAGTCGCGCTTGGAACATTCAGCGAGGTACCGGCAACAATTATGTAAGATACCATCTTCTCTCTCCTTTCTGCGCGTAGACGCACGAGGTGAGTTAAGAGCGGCACACAAAAACAGACACGCAAAACAGAGCGCTGAAGGAGTCGGGAGAAAACTCCGGATCGTGCAATTGGACTCAATTGCACCAAGTGTGCTCCGTTTCTTCTTACGTCACGCGGTTGACACAGCGGGATAAACGCGAGAGCGATAATGAATCATCTCGATTTCTCACGACCGTCCGCAAATGTGTGTACCCGTTCAATGCTGATGAGCGTATTTCAATTGTACGTGATAATCTAATCGCACCGGCGTACGTCAGTCTGACGGCTGACGGACGCCACGTCGAAGAAGAGCGAAACGACGGCGAGCGTGTGCCGTCGCGGCAGACAGACGAGCGAGCGACCGAGTGAGAGAGAGAAAGAGGAGAGAGAGAGAGAGAGAGAGAGAGAGAGAGAGAGAGAAAGAGAGAGAGAGATGACGCGCCACGCTCAAAACGGCGAGCGTGTGCCGTCGCGGCAGCAGAGAGAGAGAGAAAGAGAGAGAGAGAGAGAGAGAGAGAGAGAGAGAGAGAGATGACGCGCCACGCTCGAAACTCAATATGTCTAATCAACATTGTCCTCCGACGCGAGTTACGTAACATTCCACACGGGATCCGCCGGCGCGAGGAGGCACGTGTCGACGGAGAGGTTACATGCGCGCACCGACACCTCTCAATATGTTTAATCAGCATCGGTAAATATGAGAGTATCCCGCCGAGCGTATCCCCGTGGACACACACGGGCGAGGAGAGATTGCGTCCGCTGGCGAGTCATCTCCGATCCGCGCACAATCGACACGAACGAGCGAGCACGAACGCCACGCTCCCCGTTCATCCGTGAATGCGCGCGGGCAGGGCCGGCGGAGGAGCCGGGGAGCCAGGGGGGCCAGGGGGAGCTTTGCGCGGCCGCGTTCGAAATCCCGATACGTCTAATCAACATTATTCAAAGTATTTCTCGCTGTGTGTATATGAATGTGACATGCACGTCGGGTGGTCATCACTATGTGGCTGCGCCAAGGGTCGGAGAAATCTTCAGGCCCATGGGCCCGAAGGATCTCGGTCGGGTTATTCCGGTAAATGAGACTCGAAAGTTGGGACTGGCTGCCGAAAGGTCGTAAGAGACCAAGAGACGAGTCTCCCCGAAAAAGGCAACCTGCCCGCAGCGTATGACTATTGTTAGAGACTTTGAGAGATAAAGGATGTTGGGTACATAAAGAAAGGTGGAAATAGACTGTCCGGAGGAGGGACTGCTGCTGCTGCCCCGAAAACGGTGCACACAGATGTGCGTTGACTAGCACTAGTTGTGCTGCGCATGAATAAACGGTCGATGCTGAGGAAACTGTAATGTCTCAGCAAAACGGTCTCCGGAACGGACGAGTGTCCGTCACAAGCCCGCACCGACGCTTTCGATAGTCCGGAAAATTGTATTCTCCCACTTTTGAAAGCTTGCTGCTATGCTGCTATGTTTTTCGTGCCTTTTGTGCATTCCTCTGCGTCGGATAGAAAATGGTCAGCGCAGTGCTCAGGTCAACGACTCTCGGATCACAAGGAGAATAAGGTCCGTGACACATAAAAAAATATCGAACACGGTCGATTATTCTGGGTCACGAACGGAGAACAATCGACAGGGTCGGTCAACTTGCTTACTTTTTACGCGCGCTTAATCCTAACCTGACCCCGGTCCGAATTTGCTTACCGCTTACGGTTTCGTGCGCGTCAAGGACAGGACCGTCTCTGTTCTCTCGAAGCAGGACTTGCACCCTCCTTTTCCCCTTCGACACTGTGTTGAACACCTGTTTCGCTCCGCAGGCGGAAAGTGTCATCCGATTCAGCGAGGAAAAACAGACCGACGTGTCAGCGTGACTGCGGACGTGCCCGCAGCTCTGCACCTTCTGCACCGTGTCGCGTAGTCTTTGCATTTCCCGCGGCCCTCCCGCCGCCCCGCGGAACGTGCATTATCTGTGAAATTCGTGTCTCTGCACTTGGCAAACCGCGAAGTGCAGACGGTGCAGCCCGTGGTGCAGCCGCCGAGGATGGCTCTGGCGGAAGATTCGCCGCTGTCTCGGCCCGCGATATAAACAACACGATCTATTTCTCATCATTACACGGAAAGAGAACGATACACAGGCCAATCGTGGCGAGCCAATCCGGTTCGCCCGCTGAGACGACGGTGTAGCGTCCCGCGATCCACCGGACGAACACCGGTAAACATGGACGCGCTGCGCGCAGCGCGACGGCACATCACGCTCCGCGTATGCGTGGAGGACGTGCACGAGGCCTGCGTAGGGTTGCCAAATCCTAAAGTAAAAATTACCGGACATTTCTTCTTTGGCCCCAAAGAACCCAAACCGGACTAAACCGGACAATCATAACGTTACATTAAATATTACACAAAATATGACAAGAATTTACTTACAATATTAATCTCCAAACAATTTTATAAACAAGATTTGATTGAATAAAATAAGAAACTATTACTTTTTTAATATATACGGAATGATGGATCGGCAGATCATCCACTAGATGGCTTTTCGTGGCTCTCGCGATCGTTTGTAGGCCCTCGAAACGGAGAAACGTTGCGTAAAATCTCAACTCCCGTTCCATCGATTGGATATAACTTAAGAACCGGACACTGGACAAGACTTCTGAAAACCTGACAGACCGGGTCAAAACCGGGCAGTTGGCAACCCTAGGCCTGCGGGGGAGGGAAGTGTGACGGCCAAGGAGTCGCGCACATGACACACGCGGTGCGCACACGACGACGCGGTCCACGTAACCGTCACGTTCGCGCACAACAAACACCGGTGACGAGAGAGATCGCATCACTCTCGCGGCAGGTCTCTCTCAATAAGCTAATCGATATCGAGCAAAGACGAACGCCGTCGGACGCGAGAGAGAGAGAGAGAGAGAGAGAGAGAGAACAGAGATGCGGATCGCGCGCGCGTTATCTCTCCCTCTTTCTGTCTGTCCGTCGTCGACGTGCAGTGGTAAACAATGCTTCTTACGTTCGGCAGAAAAGCTGCTCTACAATCTAGTTGGCGTATACTCGGAAATTTGACTGAATCCAAAAGCATGCACACCAATGAGGTTCACGAATTTTACCACAGCGAAGAGAGTCGCTTGGCAGTTTGGTAGCCATTGGCTACGTTCAGCGGCGAAAAAGGTTCCTTCGCGAGACTACTGTAAGTAGTTCGCGGGCCTGACGTGCTGTTGGATTCAGCCGAGATCGAGAATCGATCGGGATTGATAATTTTCAGCGCGAGTCGCTCCTCCGTGAGTCCGTTCTTTCGAACTCTGATCTGAGCAACATTGAAACCTTCCTTCCTTTCCTCCTCGGCGCAACTTTCTATACTCGTATCATCACTCTAACGGCACCAAGAGTGAGCCAGCAAAAAGGTGAAGGTCGAGTCAAAAAGAACAGACCTCGTGTCCAGAGCAGACAGACAAAGAACAGACCGTTCTTTGTAGCTGCACTATTGAACTAGTGCAATAAGTTAAAATGAGACAACTGTATTTTTTTTCTCATTCTAACTTATCGCACTAGTTCAGCGGTGCAGCTATAAAGAACAGACCAACGACGGGGGAAAGAGGTTAAACATGTCGAACGCTCCGCGCGGCCGGCCGCGGTGAGAAAATGCGTGTGTTGCTGTGTACTTACTACGTGGGTACCATAGGGCCTAGGAAGGGTGGTATTGCCGGGAGTAGGGGTAGACACCGTGGTGGCGAGCCGCTGTGCTGTCTCCGTGCGACGAAGACGATGCGTAGACATCAGGCGGCACGGGACGCTCCTCGTCGACTATGCCGCTCGTCGTCGTACACACTGCTACCGTGCACGCACCACGTACGCGCGCCGTCATCCGGCGACGGTGGTGAAGCAAGGTCGCACGGAAGGATAAACAAACCTCGAAGACTCTTTCCTTCTCCTTTTCTCTCTCTCGCTCTCTCTCTCTCTCTCTCTTTCTTGCTCTTGCTCTCGCTCTCGCTCGGAGAGGAGAAACTCGCGGACTTCTCGCTCGCACGCTCGCACGCTCGCTCGCTCGCGCGTACGCACGCACGCACGCACGCACGCACACACGTAACCCACGACGACGACGATGAACACGGACACACACAGGCACACACACACACCCACACACTCCGGGAGATCACACGGCGATCTCGTCCGGCCGGGGCTGCGTGTTGCTCTTCGTGAGAAAGCCGTTGGCGACGAGCGTGCCGAGGAGAAACGTTCTCTTCGGCGGCGTACGGCGTACGGCGACGGCGGCGGCGACGGCGACGGCGGCAGCGGCAGCGACGGCGACGACGGCGGGGACGTCGACGACGGTTTAATATGGCCGTCCCTCGGTTGACACGGAGGCTCGAGTCTCGCTTGAAAGCGAACGGCGGCGACGGCGGCGGTAACGGCTGCTCGCGGCTTTCGATGCAACACAGGCGAGAGGGCACGGCGATGCAACGACCACAACGGCGACAGTAGCAACGCACAGTGCTGGCGGCCCCGTAGCTCGCGTACGACGCGCACGCATTTGTTCGCACTCGCGAGGAAACAACCACGCACCACCCACACAGTCACGACGTTTCGGCCGGAGATCTCAAGCGCGTACGACACACACTCGACGTCGCGTATCCTATCTCTCTTGCTTTCTCCTTCTCTTTCTCTCTCTCTCTCTCTTTCTCCGTCTTGCTCCTTCTCGTTATCTCACTCGCTCTGCTATCTGGTTCTCTTTCTTTCTCTCTCACTCGCTCGCTCGCCGCTCACTGTCTCACTCTACCGCCCGCTCTCTCTCTCTCTCTTTCTCTCCTTCGCCGGATCTTTTCCACGCGCTAGCGCCCGGCGAAGAATCTGCCCGTCTGTTTCGCTGCTTGCACTCGCGATCACAGGCGATCCCGAGCAAACTTGCTTCTGTATTTCTTTCTCTGCTGCGCGAGAAAGAAATTCGAGGGGCACGTTCCTTCACAGCGCTCGCTCGTCACTCTTTCTGTCTCTCTTATCCCGTCTCCCTTTCTGTCCCTCTCACTGTCTCTCACGCTCACTCTCTTTCTGTCCGTTCACTCTATCTCTCTCTATCTCTCTCTTTCTTTCTCTGTCTCTCTCTCTCTCTCTCTCTGTCTCCTCTTTCACTTCCCTTGGACGTTCCGTCGTGGGCCACTATGGTCGGACACACCGCGGAAAAGAGATACCGTGCAGGTCGCGTACGAATCCACCGCACTCGCGCTCGACGGATCAACGGGCACCACCTTCGCTCTCTCACACACACTGCCGTTCCTGTTCTTCTTCCTGTTCTCTCGTCCGTTTGTCACCCGCGACGACGCTCGACGGCGGCACAGTCCACACGGCGCACGCGGACGTACGCACGCACGGTTTTCTTCACGCTGCGCGAGGACGTAACACGACCTCGGTGCGAACGACAACGTCAACATCACCACCGTACGCTTTCGTGGCGGCCATCTTTTTCGGAGGATACGGTGGCGATACGCGAATCACGAAGCGAGAAACGCACGCGCGTACACGGCTGCGAGTGCGCGAGCGCGCCGCGCGCGGCCGAACGAGATTGGATGCGCTCGGCCGTATGCGCGCGCCTTAGTGACTGGCGGCGTGCAGGGACGTGCCAAAATGAGGCGCGACGAACGCGAGACCCTAGAACGGAGGACCGAATTGGACACTCGACTTTAACAAACTTGGCCAATCGGGATGAAGCTGGCCGCGACTGAGACCACGCGAATGGTCGTATTTTAATTTTCACCTCGCACTGTGAAAAATTGCGCGATTATTGAATAATTTTAAATAGAAACACCGTTGTACTAAAAATATGTGGCAATTGTAGCGTTTCTTTCAGCTATTTCGATAGACTTATTTTTCACGAAATTGAGTTAATTACGTAAGAAAGTTCTCGTTTCTAAATTTGCAGCGTCGAATTAAGAGACCCGTAATCACAATTGATTTCTCGTTTTGTTGGATAAAAATAATTTCGGTTTTTTTTTCTTTTACCATCGAGGTTATTCCGAAGCATTCGATAGCTAACTATAGCACATTGCCATATTGTTGTATATAGACATGGAATGCGTATATCGTACTTATTTATACTTATCGTGACCTGACCAATAATCCAAAAGTTGAAAATCGGATAAAGTATGTAGAGGAAGTGAAGAAAACACAAGTTGTCTTGAAGGAACTTTTATTTCCGCTTATATAAGAATATTTCTAACAAACGTTGTTCAATGTTCTTCTTGCTTCTTACAACACATTTTCAACTTATAAAATATCAGATATATGGGTATATTTTTTATAAAAATTTTTTGCAGTATAAACCTTTTCAAGTTACAAAAACGGTGTATAAACTTGTATACAAAATTTCATAGAATGACAGAGTATACAGATATATATATACACACATAAACTCGATTAAACGTTAGAAATGAACTATCCTTCACGATTGTATGCGCACTCAATGTTGCACATTAAGTTCTTTTTTTTAATATAAACCAACTTGAAATCAATATAACTTGTATCATTATTTACAGTCCAATAGTTGTAGAGATATTTGAAAATAATTTCCATTCAACATGTTATTTACCCCTAGATCAAAATTTAACCAATGAAAAAAAATTAATCTTTCTTGAAGAAACATAAATTCTTTTAATTTAAGGAACACTGTCAAGTTGCTTTTATGTCTACTGATTACTTAGCATTTTTTATTTATCGATGTATAATATATACATCAATAACATTGTACTATCTTGCATTATATTGTCATTTTCTAAATAAAATAAAATTGTGCGTATTTTTTATAGTTTCCAATTTTTAATCACTTCCAGGAATTATTTACGAATTTTTCTTTTATATTCTCATATTTCGATTTCTCTCTTGTTACATTTATGGCGTTCAAAAATAAACTGATTGATATTTCATTGTAACTTTACTTATAATAAGAGCCAGTTATGTATATCTTATTCTTTCCTCAGTAACTTTGTCAGGTTCTACTGATTACAAGAACTAAAAATGGAAGAAAACATGATAATAATAAATGCCTGTTGCAAAAATGCAGTAAACATGTCAATCAAAAACGATAGAAAAACACAACTAGTGGTAATATATTCTCCGTGTATCTATTTTCATGAAATAATGCTGCAGCAAAATTATACTCCATTTCTTGTTTCATATCTTTTTAATATAGCCCGGAATGTGCCATCATATATGTATATATATATATATATTATTGAGGTTCTCATTGGTTTCGAAAAATATAACATCTTTTGTACATGTTTAGTGTTCCTGTTGAACCCAGCCAACCTAATTTCGCTGCCAGCCGCGAGACATTGGTCAACAAGATCGCTAATGTTTTAGGATGTCTCGCACAGCAGCGAGAATTTTATGAGCGCTGATACCGAAATGGTCAAGTAGTACCGTGGGAGGACCGGAACGCGGCACCGTCGGCACAGCCAACATCTTCACTATTATGTTTCTCTCCAAGGCAACTGCGGCCGCGACCGCCTCACCCAGGCCACCTTGCGCGTAATGGTCCTCGATTGTGACGATCCTGCCGCCGGTTTCCTTAGCATTCTTCACGATCGCTTCCATGTCGATGGGCTTGATCGTAAATGGATCCATCACGCGGATGCTGATCCCGGCCTTGGACAACTCGTCAGCCGCCTTGATCGCCTCATGCAACGTCACGCCGGCGCCAATCACGAGCACCTGATCTTTCGCGGAAGACCTGATAATCTTGGCCTTACCGATGGCCATCGGCTCGTCGTTATTGTACAAGACCGCTGTATTCGGACGGGAGGTGCGTATGAAGCAGATGCCCTTGGTGTTGGCCGCCAATTCTACAGCGCGCTCTGTCGACACCGCGTCGCTCGGGTAGAAAACAGTAGAACCCGGGATCGTGCGGAACATCGCGATGTCTTCTAGGCCCATCTGCGAGGGACCGTCCTCGCCGATAGACACGCCGCAATGCGAGCCGACAAAGTTCACGTTCGTCTGTGATATCGCGCCCATGCGGATCTGCAAGAGAATTTGCGGTAAATAATATTCACAGAATTTATTATTTACTTTATCAACAAGTTTGTTATTTACTCCTTTGCTGTTACCATGCGTCATCATTCGGCAGAATGATAATATATATTATCATTTTGTAGCGGACGTCTCACCTGATCGAAGGCGCGCGTGAAGAACGTCGCAAAGGCCGACACGAACGCGACAGTACGATCCCTGCAAGCGGCACCGATCGCGACACCCACGATGTTCTGTTCAGCGATGAATCCCTCGATAAATCTGGTTGAGTCGACCGTCTTTATTTTATCGGCGTAAGTGGAATTCTTCGTGTCGCCGTCCAGAGCAATAACACGAGGATGATTTTTCGCCAACTGGAACAAAACGATAGGTTTCGTTGCGCGAACATCGATTTGAAACTTTTTGAGAATATCTTGGATGTCGATGGACATTGGTGATGACAAAGAGACATGCAAACCTTTGCAAGAGCAGTGCCGTAGGCCAATCTGGTAGCTACTTGGTCACCGATTTTGTAGCTTGGAGGCGCTGCTAACGTAATGTTGCTGATATCCACAGCAGGAGCATCGTCCATAAGCGGCTTTTGTGGGCGTAGTCCAGCAGAGCCCATATTTTTCAAAAGTCCAGTCAAATGCTATACAAACAGAAGATTAATATTATTTTAGTGTTCATTAAATTAGCTTCGTTTTAATACACATACATACGTCAATGCATTGCAATTAATATCTTAATTAGTACACACAAGATACCTGAATAACATCATTTGCTTTATTGCCCAACGGCTTGCCGTGCCAGTTGTCCAAGTCTTCAATGTTGGGGAAGTTTTTGCCTTTAAAGGTCTTGGCTAAAATGGCAGTGGGACGTCCTTTTATATGTTCCGCTTCGTGGAAAGCCTACGAAGACGAAAATTCCTTTTACAATTAATTTATTTTGTTTTATGCAACTGGCAAACTTACCTTCGCCAATTCCTCCACATCATGGCCATCCACGACCAAAGCGTTGAAACCGAAGGCTTCTAATCTTCTACGATAGACTTCCATATTATGCTGCAGCGAAGTTGGTTCACTCTGTCCGAGACGGTTGACGTCAAAAATAGCACAAAGATTGTCTAGTTTGTAGTAAGACGAAAAATGAAGAGCTTCCCAGATGGAACCTTCCGCTGCTTCTCCATCGCCGATCAAACAATATACACTGAAAAGCAAATAACAAGATTGTCTTAATTACCAAGAGGGAGATATGTCTGAAGTCTCCAGCATATCAAAAGATATTAATGATATTAAGAGAGAATATAAAAAAATGATTGTATATAAATAAAAATAAAAAATATAAATTATTATATAGATCGTATATTATTAAATAGTATAGTGTATAGGAATAAAGAACATACCGATAACTGGCTTTGTCGTAATTTTTTCCCACATAGGCCATGCCTGCGGCAACCGAGAGACCTTGTCCTAATGAGCCAGTTCCTACGTCTATGAAGTTGAGTCTCGGAGTGGGGTGTCCCTCTAGGTCACTATCGAATTTTCTCAAATTCAATAATTCGCTCGGTGGGAATAAGCCTGCTTCTGCCCATGCTAGAGTATGCAATAACGTATAATATTAAAAATTATATTATTCTGTATGTATTACTAATGTAATTTTTGCTATATTATTATTATGGAATATTATATTATATAATCATATATTGATACATAATACATAATAATCAATCGTATATTTACCTGCATAAAGAATTGGAGCTGCATGACCCTTACTGAGGACGAATCTATCGCTGTTCAGATCACGTGGATCCGAGACCTTGTAACGCATAGTATGGAAAAAGAGAACGGACATAATCTCCGCTATCGACGAACATGACGTCGGGTGGCTAGAACACGATAAAACAGAAAATAAATTACAAATATAATGTTAAATGTAATACATAAAATAAGCGCACTTTAATTCTGATGTTGAATACAAAATATTTAAATATCGGACATTATTATTACACATGTTAATGAGATATTTCACTTACATAATCATATCTGTCTTTTCAAAATCATGTTATCACATGGTGAGGTCGACAAGGTTTGTACATATATGACCTCTAAGTCATATCAGAGGCGACTCACAAGGCGACTTATAAGTATCTCTGAACGTAATTCTTACAGATACTTCTCAAACATTTCAAAAATAATTGTAATTAATCCTAAATCGACACATAAAATTTATCTGATGCCCAGAAAATTATTTTCCTATAAACAATTCTAATATTGCAGCTAATGGGTATCTTTAGCTAAACTGAACGCCTAGCAAAGAATTAATATTCCATGCATCTGATTGGTACATATTTAAAAATCATGATTAGATGTGTGAACCACGCATGTAAAGAGAGAATTATACTTCATTAACAATCATAAAACCAATAGCTTCCAGTGCTCTCATCGTACCCGCTCTTCGCCGCCTCGGTCGCTCGTACGCACTCGATACGTAGTCTATTGGCAAGATCTTGGACTTTCTCCATGTTCGTGTCTCGCACCATCGTGAACTAAATCGCCGAAACAACAATGGGTGGTCGATCGCGACTACCGGGGGTAGAGAGGTTTCGGCGATGGGCCGACTACGCGCGCGAGCACGAATCTCCCCACTTCTTCGGACGTCGATAACGGAGATATCGTCGCGTATACACGAGATGCCCCGGAACGCAATGTACAAGCGGGGAACGGTAATTTTTTTTATTTTTTCATCCCTGTACCATTTCTTCCCCCAGAGCATTTTCAACGGAATATCAATTTTTTTCTCAACCGTCTCATCGGGTTTATACTAATCTTAATTTCCGCTTCGCAAAACCATTTCTTCGAGAACTTATCGAACTCGTGTGCTTATCGTATATTTTACACCTGGAAAAAAAAAAACGTAAAATTGATTTCAAAACGCCTTCGTCTCGAAATAAATCAGCTGAATATTAAGCGACCGATATCCAAGATCGAATGTCAGTTAAGTAACATGTTAATGCGGTTCGCGTAGATCATTTACTGACCCGTAACGGTCAATTATGAATAGATCGCTTACATTACACTCAACCAAGGTGATCTCTTATCGCGTAAGTACGATAAATAGATCGTAAATATTTAAAAATATTCCTCTTCTGAGATACGGACGAACTCGTGTCTTCTTGCTTCGTTAAACGCGCGTTTCACATTTCTTACAATAAGTGTCCTCGATAAAACAAAGGACTCGTGTCGCAAAGTGATTACGAAACGGAAGAAATATATTATATCATAGACACGTGTCATTCATATTTATGCACAAATGACAGTGCATGAGACAGGTTTATTCAGCTGCACTTTCAATACCTCGCGTCGACTTTCCCGCCCCTATTGTCTCAACCCCTCGAGGGCCCGAATGTATATACATGCGGGTATCTCTCGTTCTCAGCGTGCACCAAGATATATAACACGGTGTAGCTGAGGGGGGAACAGATACGATCGTCTTGGCACGAAACGCAAGAGGCAGTTGTCACGATCGATACAGCGTCCCGCGCGAATTTCCGAACGCGTGCAGTCACGAGTTTCACCGCTCGTTATCGGTGCGGTAAACGGTTGCGCGCTTATCGCCGCTCATTTGCAGAGATTATTCCGTTTGCATTTGCAATTTGATAGACGCGCGTTATCGCGGCAAAAATTACGGAAGAACTCACCCGGACTTGCTGGCCTGCGTAGCCTCGACCGAGTGAATTCTCAACTTCATCGCGATATCCCGTAACTCCTGGATGGTTTTCGCTTCCGGCTTGTGGTAGTTCGCCATTTTTTGTCCGCTTGCGTGCGTGTGTGCGCTCGTTCGATCGGTCGGCTGTGCGCCTCGATGATTCTCTCGACGGTGCTCGCGAAAATGCAACGCTGTGGCGCAACAAGTAGATTCGAGTGAACGAGAGAGGCCCGCGGCGAGCTTGGCCGAGCACGCCCGATCGCTATCATCACGACCGCAGCGACTCCACGATCGTAAGTTATATTCATTATTTGGGCGGGTTCTCAACAGTAGCGATTACGTAATGTAAAGGCCGGATCCGGTTACGGATGTGGAGATCTATCAATCAGAGCAAAGCAGTTCGTCGGCCAGATTGCAAGTTAAGCCAGCGGCACACGGTGCTTGTTTTCGTGCTGGATTGCTTGCTGGATGAAAATACTGCGTTGTGATTGGTACATTTCCGAAGATGGATGGAAATGCACCAATCAGAACGCAGTATTTTCATCCAGCAAGCAATCCAGCACGAAAACAAGCACCATGTGCCGTTGGCTTTATATGAAGTCTATCTTTTATCGCTGATACTGAACTAGTGTACACTCAGGGAACATGAAAAGAAATAGATATATATCTAGGAGTTAGTGAAAGGGAGAGAAGAAGAGAATAAGTGCAAGTTAGTGCAGCCAGTTCAGCAATAGAAAACAAACTTATGTGGTCTGTTCTTTTCAGCAGCACTGCGGAACTAGTGCAATAAGTTAGAATGAGACAAGTATATATTTATCTCACTTTAACTTATCGCACCAGTGCAGCGATGCAGAAGAAAAGAACAGACCATTGGTCTGTTCTTTTTAGCTGCACTAGTGAACTGGTGCAATAAGTTAAAGTGAGAAAAAATATAGTTGTCTCTAGTGCAGCGGTGCAGAGGAAAAGAACAGACCTATAATTTAAACCAAGGGTTCTCGATTCCTGACGGCGTGCGAATGAGATGCGCATGCGAAAATCTATATTATATGTAACGTGAACTGTACATTTTTGCATACGCATCTCACTCGCACGCCGCGTCAGGAATCGAGCCCCAAATTTTTAACTCGTTTATTGTAAACTCATTAAAGGCCTTCACACACGAATCTACTTAAGGCCTGGTCTACAATACGTGTCGTAAGTTGTAAGCCGTAAGAATTGGCGAATCACAGTCGATTATTACAAAAATAATCGGCTATAATTGGTCAGTTTTTACGGCTTGCAGCTTACAACACGTATTGTAGACCAGGCCGCATACATAATACGTAAACCGTAAGGAAATCCTCCAATCAGAGTCGACTATTCCCCTCTACATTTTGCTACGCAAGACAGAAGCCGTAACTGATTGGAGGATTTCTTTACGATTTACGTATTACGTGTCGTAGTAGATTCGTGTGTGAAGGCCTTTAATAACATTGCGAGAAAAGATCACATGCAGATTGATTGTTTAACGTGCAGTGTGATCGGCTAATTCATTATTGTTAACCTTAACCAAGCTCGCAACTTGTAGTGGGACCTTAATGGCTGATGTAATAATTAGATTAGTAGAATAGTGTATACAGAATTAGAGACAGACAGCTCTCTCTTTCTCTCTCTTATTTTTCTATCGAATTACTGCAAGAAAGCAAGAATAGTCGATTAGATAGCGTATCGACGAGTTGTAGTTGTTAAAGGTTATATTATGATTATAGAAATTACAGGTAAGTTTTCATAAAATTATGACAAGACTAATAGTTAAGTAAAATTATATTTACACACATTTAAAAATTCATACATATAATATTTGAGTTATCTTTTTCAAATTTAATATATGTTATGTTATATATTGTTATCAAATATATCAATTGTAACTGTCCCATTTTTTTTGACAAATTAAATTTTACATATGACATATATTTTCATGCAATTATTACAACTTATCTAAATTTTTATTTACATAAGACTGAACTATGAGCACCACTATCTCACAATGCATGGAGTCACCAGTATTAAATAAACGAACACATCATAAGAAAAACAAAATACAAATTGAGAGTAACAATGCAGATAAAATTAGTAAAAGTGACACGATTGAAAATATAATAACTGATCAAGGTTTAAAAAATAATGCACAAGAAAAAAATATTCAAGTTAGTCCTAGGAAAAAACAAGAAACTGAAGAAGTAACTGATCAAGGTTTAAAAAATAATATACAAGAAAAACGTATTCAAGTTAGTCTTAGGAAAAAACAAAAAACTGAAGAAGTAACTGATCAAGGTTTGAAAAATAATACACAAGAAAAAAATATTCAAGTTAATCCTACAAAAAAACAAAAAACTGAAGAAGTAACTGGTCAAGTTTTGAAAAATAATACACAAGAAAAAAATATTCAAGTTAGTCCTAGGAAAAAACAAAAAACTGAAGAAGTGACTGATCAAGGTTTGAAAAATAATACACAAGAAAAAAATATTCAAGTTAGTCTTAGGAAAAAACAAAAAACTGAAGAAGTGACTGATCAAGGTTTGAAAAATAATACACAAGAAAAAAATATTCAAGTTAGTCTTAGGAAAAAACAAAAAACTGAAGAAGTAACTGATCAAGGTTTGAAAAATAATATACAAGAAAAAAATATTCAAGTTAGTCCTAGGAAAAAACAGAAAACTGAAGAAGTGACTGATCAAGGTTTGAAAAATAATAGACAAGAAAAAGATATTCAAGTTAGTCCTAGGAAGAAACAAAAAACTGAAGAAGTGACTGATCAAGGTTTGAAAAATAATACACAAGAAAAAAACATTCAAGTTAGTCCTAGGAAAAAACAGAAAACTGAAGAAGTGACTGATCAAGGTTTGAAAAATAATACACAAGAAAAAGATATTCAAGTTAATCCTACAAAAAAACAAAAAACTGAAGAAGTGACTGATCAAGGTTTGAAAAATAATACACAAGGAAAAGATATTCAAGTTTGTCCTAGGAAGAAACAAAAAACTGAAAAAGTCACTGATCAAGGTTTGAAAAATAATACACAAGAAAAAGATATTCAAGTTAGTCCTAGGAAAAAACAAAAAACTGAAGAAGTGACTGATCAAGGTTTGAAAAATAATACACAAGAAAAAAATATTCAAGTTAATCCTACAAAAAAACAAAAAACTGAAGAAAAAAGTCCAAAAACTGAAGCAGTACCAAATATAGTAGGCATAAATACTTGTAAGAATAAAGAAATAGAGCATAATGATAATATACAGAATAATTTAAAGTCACAAAACAGGTCACCGGTGAAAGTAAATGATATACATACTTTTAACAAAACAAACAGCTCTTTGCAAAATTTTGAAAATGTAGAATGCAATAATAAGATGGTTGATAATTCTACGAATGATAAAAATATATTTACTCTTAGTTTAATAGAATTACAAGATTTATTAAAAAGCCCATCACCTAAGAAAACAGAAAGGTTATTACAATCTGGCAGTATAATCTCAATAAATGAGAACTCAAAAAAAATAAGAAATGATAAAGAATGCTCTGATATAGTGAAAACAGATCTGTGTAATTCAGAAGATTTTAATATCTTTCAGGCAGATCTATCATATGATGATCTATTAAATACTGCAATGAATACTGAAAGTGCTGAAACACTATCAGATATTTCATTACCTCTAAAGACAGAGATTAATACATTGCATTATATTAATGAAGGTTTAGCTGATTTAAACAAAGATCCACTAACAGATCCTCTCTTTATTGGTGATTATGAACAGAAGGATGTTAATACTGCAATTATGAATTTAGATCACAAGCCTTCAAAGCTAAGAAGGTCCGATCGTATAAATAAAAAATTGACTAAAAATTATAATGTAGATAATATTAAAAAAGAAAAATGCATGCTGAACACTGCAGGGAAACATATTTTAAAAGAATTAGAAGATATCGAAGAAGAAGAAGAGATACCATTAAGTATTATACAGGTTGGTCAATATTCTAGATACTCTATATGGTGTATTTACTTCTATTTTATATATATATATATATATGTTAATTAAAATTTACTATTTTATATACGCAGCAGTTGGCATCATTGTATATAGAGCTAGTACACAAAGTACCTCCACAACATAAAATAGAAGTTACTGGAGCTCATCCTACAACAAGAGAAGAGAAAAAATTATTTCAAAAGTATGGACCACTTCGTAAAGGTCCATACACATCTGAAGAAGATGCAACTATTACACAAAACTGGAACATGTTTTGCAAGGTATATTTCTGATATTATACAGATTGGCCTATTTAATAGAACATATGACTCAAATCATATTTTGATGAATATTTATATTAAGGGAAAAAGTTGTGCAAAAGTTGTAGGGAGAAAGTATATATCACTAACTGATAATTTGAAGAAATTGATGACTTTAAAATCTATATATAGCTATAACTATCTCTTATATATCGTATAACTTCTTTCAAAAAACATTTTTTTTTATATCATTATAAATAACAGAAATATTTTGGGTTATTATGTAAAGACTCTTCAATTACATAATAACAAAGAATATAACATGTCCTATTATACATACATACAGCTTCATAATTGGGACTCGAAGAACATTGGACCGTTTCGTAATTTGAGACATAATGGAAAATATTATATACGTGATCTGAAAGAAAGGCAGAAATTTGTTCAATTTTTAGCAAATGGTTTACCTTGGCGGACCCTCAATAGTGTTTATTCCAGATTTAAAATTTTATATTGTAACAAAATCACCAATGTCCGGTATGACAAGACAAATAAATTAACCTTTTAAATTTTTATTTTAAATTATCATACATATATATTTTAGATATACTTCAAAAGAAGATAAAAAGATTTTAACATATATACAGAATAAATATCTTGACCAACGTGATACTAAATATATTGAATTAGCAAAATTATTGGGACGAACAAATCGGTCAATATCTAAACGATATAAGTATCTTAAAAAAATTAAAGAAGCTGCAAGCGAATCGACGAAAAAATGTAAGTAACTGTCTCTCTCAAAATATATTATATATTATATATTTTTGTAAATATTTCTGTGTAAAATTAAATTTACTTAATTTCATTACACTATTAGCAAAAGTGAAGTGGACAGTGCCACTCATAAAAAAATTCTTAAAGACATTACTCGATATAACATTATGTGAAGATATAGAAGAACTTAAATACATTAGACTTCCTATGCCAATATGGCGGAAGATGGAAGAAAAACTAAATATAGATGAGAATATTTTGAAAACATTTTGGCAACATCAGTTGCATCTGCAGTTATTTAGCACGAGTCCCATCTATCTAAACGATATTAAAATACAATTAATTGAATAGTAAGTATCACATGTTACATGTTATCTGTTATACTTTTGTTAAGAAGCATGAAAATTGATTTTGATGTATTACAACTATCATTGAGTGTTACTACACATATACAGGGCATTAAAAAAAAGGATTTACAGAGTAGATTTTACCAAGTATTTTTTACTCAATATAATAAATATTATATATCCTATAAGTCTGAAACTTTTTTTTTTTGAGAGTCTTACATAAGCATATAAATTATTTTTAGTATGTATAAAAAAGGAATATCGAGTACCCGTGAGATTATATGGCCCAATGTAACACAATATTTTGAGGGAGCAACTGCAGTATTTCTCTGCAAGACCTTTTTTTACCTAGTACAAGAATGTCATATGGACGACATCGATAATTTTACTGGTAATGTTAAGTTTAAATTATATAAAATACAAAAAATTAGGATTATATATTGTATTTGTATAAAATCATGCAATATGTTGAGAATATTTTTATTGCAGATGTCGTGGAATACTTATATCATAAAAAGATCCCTGAAATTAAAGAGGCTCCGACAGACAAGTTTTTACCTAGGATTGTATATAAAAATGGGAACATTGTTATATTAAATTCGAAAGATGATACAACAGATACAAATATTGCTGATCATGATACTGATGACATTTAAATGTTTTGTGTATGAACAAATGGCGTGCATTTAGTATTATAACTACTCATTAAACTCTTTTTAATCAGTACATATACTTTCAGATCTAATCAAGAATTAAAAATACAAACCAAATAAATTCGAAGATTATTCAATATTCAGTGAATGGTTATATTATTGAATGCTCTATTTCGTCGGTAATTTTTTTTTACAGCTATATGCCATTTTTATACCATTAAATGTTAAATATAATGAAATTGGTATATTTTGTAAATAGATAAGTGTAAATAAATAATGCATATGCTAAATTGTAACAAAAAATAACGTATAAATTATATAAATGTAAAGCATTTTATTAAAAAAAAAAAAAAAAATTACATTTCACCATAATGCAGATATTGGAACAATTTCAAGAATTTCATATCTATATATAAATAATCATATAATTTTGCAATATACATTCAAACTTTATTTTTCTTTGATTCCTTTTCGAGTGCTTTCTCCTTTGCCTTTTGATACAAAGGTACAAGTTTGCCTTCTTTAGCTAGAATCTTCAAGAGTTCCATGATAAGTGGTAAATAATTATGTTTTCTTCTGATATTCTCGATTTGATATCTTTTCGATTTTCTTATTTCTTCTTCAATTAATGCTTGCAAACGTTCCATTTCTGCAGGGTCACAGATATTTGCCTTCTGTCTTTCATATAAAGTTTTTCTGTCTGTTACTATAGCCATTAGATTGAAATGAATTTCACCTTCATTATACCTGTTCATAAACATTTTACTTTCATAGAATATAGGTAAAATGACATATTTGTAGATATATTGTAGATTGTAGATTTGTAGATTTATAGATATTTGTAGATGACCAACATTTATATACATGTTGAACATGAAAAGAGTTGTTGAGACATCTATATATCATAACTTACTTGTTTATTCGCTTTTGAATTATCGGTTTTGCAGCTTGTACCCATTGTTCCCCCACTGGGCACGGACCTAAATCCATAGGTCCATCCTTTAATCCATCCAATTCATATAAACGGCCATCTATTGGAACATAACTCACAAAATGAAATACATTATCATCCTTAGATGCTTGTCTTGAGTCATATTCAAATACTGTTTGCCTAAAATTATGTAATATACATACATGTAGTATACAGTAAACAGAATTGTATATATTAACATATACTAAGTGATATCAAGTAATTAAAAGAAATATATAAATACCTTGAAAAAGAATTATGTACTTCCCTTATAACATCTGAGTTACTAAGGGCAAGTCCACGCATGTTTGCATCAAAGCTTTGACAAAAATTTTTGAAATCTTCCAAATTTGGTCCTAAAGATATATCTGCATGTTTGCAATTTAGCAAAACGCTTAATATTGCTTGTGTTGCACAAGCATTGTTTATTATCTAAATAAGTATAATTTTTTTAAATACGACATATATTCAATATTTTTATCATAGGTAATTTCTCACAAATTAGTAAAACACTTCTATACTTTTACTTTGTATTTTACATACCTGTTTTGCAAAGAATATTTTGTCCAACCTACTATCTTGCACAATATTTCCTGATAATTCATCATCTTGTACCCATTTGAACAGAAATATTAAGCCATGAATAGGTCTGTGGAAAATATTGTAACAGATACAAACATAAAGAAAAGAACTTAAAAGTTAATTACATGATTATGTATTATGAAATACAAGTATAGGAAATATAGTTAATAAAAAATATATATATGTCAACTAAAATGTCCTTTTTAGTTAACGTGATAGAAATGTTCATTATATACAAAGTATATATACTTCAAATTATCGAATTGTTCATCATCCAGGCTCCATAACTCTTCCACTTGTGCTCCTTTGACACCTGTGTGTGAGAAAAATAATTTAATTTATATATATATATATGTGTGTGTATATTTATATATACCTTAATACATAGACTATGTAAAACTTTAATATATAGACTATGTAAAACAACTTGACAAAAGTGGGTGTATAATAGTGCAGTTGTCAAATTTGTAAACTCCACTACAATTAGATCGATTTTGTTACAATTGGAATACAATTGGAAGGATAATTGCAAAAATAGTTACCAAATTCTTTAATCAACTCTGTAAAAACGCCAGGATCACTCTCAATGAGACACCAATTTCCAGCTGAATCCGCCATATTTTATAAACTGTCCCACAGTGTGCGTGAAATAAGCAAAGAATACACGAAAACTTGATGTCAGGCTGATCAGTAGAAAAGAAGTGGAAATCTAAAGCAGATCTCTTTGCACATAATTTTATTTACAGTACAGTCGGGTGTAATAGAGTGCAATGAAGCGGTCCGGTTATTGCATCAGATTGTACCATCACTTCTTATTACACTGCGTGTAACTCCGAATTAATGGTCTGTTCTTTGTAACTGCACTGTTGAACTAGTGCAATAAGTTAAAGTGAGACAAATATAGGTTTTCTCACTCTAGCTTATCGCACCAGTTCAGCAGTGCAGCTACAAAGAACAGACCATAAATCGATCTACCATCGATTGCTTTCACTCGCACCTCGTACACTTCGTGCAGATAAATAGTTCCACTACGGAAAGAAATGAATCACCGCGATTGGTCGACTCAGCTTCCCGAGTATCCCGCTTGTGGCGCTGTTATTTCCTATTTAGTTATGGCGCTGGTTACGGATTCTGTGCGGTACGGTAGTGTGCGAGAAACCGTCGCCCGTGATTTTTCGTGATTTTGAGTTGCCGTAGCTGAGTCTCGTGTCTTAAATCGTTATTGAGAGTGCCGAAAGTAAGTTTCGCGCGTGTGCTATGGCGGAATGACGTTCGTTCCGCCACGCGAAGTGAAGTGAGATGAATTGTCGGAATGCCGAGGAAAACTCAGCGCGTCAGTTGTAAGGGCAGTTCGGTTTTCGCGTCGCAGAGCTTCGTTTTCGTCAGCCGAGTCTCGGTTGCGAATTATCGTTAAACATCGAGGTATGGCACACTTTCGTTAAATATTGGCTGAAAATTCTTCATTCTTCGTCGGGAGGGTCGAGTAAAGTTTCGGGAATTTTTTCTGTTATGGTCGACTTCTTGGAATATTTCAAACGGAACGAACGGTTTCGAACAGAATATTTTGATTGGCTAGTACGCTAGTACGTATTCACCAACATATGCACACAATGGCCGCGTTCAGTAGAACAAAGTGATCAGAGAGCGCTTAGTGATTATTGTCTGTGATTGGAGCATTCTTTTAGGTTCTTCACAGACCCAGAAGTATTTACCAATCAGGAGCAAGATTCAGTGGAAAATCTAGTAATTTTATCCAACTGTTGAGTCTGCTGAATGCAGCCAGTGAAAATCGCGACTGTTGCATTGCAACGCTTAGTACGTGAATTCCAAAAGCCGACCATGCGTATTTTCTGCGATTTTGAATTACTAAAGGCAAATATCAGCGTATATTATTTCGTCGAGAATACCGCAAGAAAATTTCGTGCATTTGTCATGGCGAAGTATCATCAAGTAGTCGAAAGTAAATAATTAACGAAACCGGATCTTCGGGAGTGCCGGATGAAATTATGCGCGTTTGTTGCTCAAGATTTGTGTTTGTGATCAAGTGATGTGAAAAATGGCCTGTTATTATTCAAAGTAAAATTTAGTGTTTGTGTTGCGAAAAGTATTAAGTGCCGAGGATATATTTTGCAAGGAGGGACATCAGGAACCATTGAGGGGTAAGTTTACTCTATGTATATCACTTTATGTACATCGCTATAACAATTCGGAGTTGCTTGTCTCGCGATATTGCGTTTTTTGCGATGAAAAAATTATCCAATGAAAAAATTTATGAGGCTGATCATGGTTGTGAAACGAAACATAAAAATCTCAATTAAATATTTCGAAATAATACATTTAATGTTTATTGATATTTTCATTCTTAATAGTTCATCACATTTTACATTTTAAGCGCATTTTATTAACCCGTTTTGAATGAGCAAACGAAATATTACGTTCAACCTGAAAGCATCAGTTTTTCAACGAGTCCGCTCGCAGGTCTCTACGATCCTTAGTACTCATTGTCCGTGTAAATGCCTCGTCGATTCTTGGAACTCACGCCGCCGCGCACTTACCCAAACGACGTGTCGTAGCGAACCATATTTACTTCCCTAAATTTTTACTTACTCTTTACGCTATCCGGAAAGATATTAATTTGGATTTTATTAATCTGGATTTTAGGAAAATTAGTCATACTGCCTTAAAAATAAACAGCATCATTTGTTTGCGATCCGTCGTCTCATCGTAGCGCTTTGTTTCGATGGAATCGAGGATTCTCGACAACACGAGATATTCTGCGATGACTAGCGCGTGATCACACGATCACACCGTGCTTGTTCGGCGACGGGACACACCGTTGTTATTGTCACTGTTTGTCAGCATATGAACGCCAATAACCTGGCAAAGTTTTAAATCGACAACGGGTAACGTCCCATCTCCGAGCAAAGAAAAACGAAAAAAATATATATTAATGTAAGATCGAAGTTACGAACCGCTCTGTATTCCTCACTCCGATCAGATCTAAAATTCGCACGAGACCGACTGCAAGTATCAATTTCGCTTCGTTCCGCACCGTTTTTTCTTTAATCAGCTGCTCTGGTCGAACCTTCGCGTACGGAGACTCGGTTGCGGCCTCAACTGGCTGATACTTCGACTGGACGTGCCACGTACAAACTTAATTTTCGTCCAAATTGTCCGCGTTCAACTTGTATTTTTTGTTAACAAAATTGGAATCGCGGGTTCGGGAGGTGCTCGCGCTCCGACCAGCGAGTATCATTCTTCCAGAATCTCGACGAACATCGCCCATGAGGAGGAAATAAAAGGGAACGATCCCGCGAAACTCAAAAGGGCTGTGTCTTCCTTTCTGTCGAGCCCCGCGCTCATTGCTGAGCGGTCTCGGCCTCTTTTTGACTTAGCCAAAATGCGAACAAAATTATTGCTCATTTCTTTCATTCTGCATCATTTCTTTCGATTAGCATAAATATTTCCATGACGTATATTGATCTATCATTTTTCTCTTCATTAATTTTAACATTTCGGACTTCATAATTCTGTAATGTTGGACTGATTTGGTATCTACGGATCATTGTTATTTCCAATTTAGATTAGCTTCTTGCACACGATTTATTAATTTATACTTGGTAACCCATCATTTTCGCATCGATCAATCTAGACATATCGGCTTCAAATTCTCCATAACGCGTAGGCGCACGTTGTTGCAATTTGTGAAGATCTGAGTTATCTTGGACCTAGATTAAAATCTTATCACTCATATTTCGTTAATTAATATTTCGTAACTTGTTATTCCCGAACCCAGACAGCACCGGACATCCGGCCAATGGATGTACGTTTCACATCCAATTTATGTCCGATTTACGTATATTCCGTATTCCCATATTACGATAATTAATATTTCGTGACAGGTCATTTCTGAGCCTGTCACTTTCCCATCTTTCGTGGCCTGTAACTCCGAAACGCGTAATCGCATTTCGATACGGTTGGCTCGGATCATCCTTATTTTGAACCAAGATTAATATCTTATCGCAAATAATTTTGCAGCTTATACCCGGTGACTCATCATTTTCGTATCGGTCGATCTTGACCTATTGGCTTCAATTTTTCAATAACGCGTAGGCGCACGTCGTTGCAATTTATGAGGATCTTAGTTATTTTGGGTCTAGATTAAAACCTTATCACTCATGCTTCGTTAATTAATATTTGATGACTCGTCATTTCTGGGTCTGTCACTTTTCACAAATTTTCGTGACTTCTAACTTCAAAACGTGCGATTACAACTCGATGCGATTTGCTCGGACCATCCTTATTTCGAATCTAGATTAACGTCTTATCACAAATAATTATCGCAAATAATTAACTTATAATTAACGTCTTATTATAATTAACATCTTATCACAAATAATTATCGCAAATAATTAACTTATAATTAACTTATAATTGGTGACCCTTCATTTTTCCGCATTGATTTCGGAAAAAAATGAAAAAAAAATTGAATACAAAAAAAATGAAAAAATTGAATATAAAAATTATAAAAATAGCCACCCCTATTAGCGTCATTTTGTGTCATTGCTAAAAGTTTTCCGCTCGGTCTCGAAATATTTCTTCCCAAATTGCGGGCAGGTAGCGTGAAAGATGAGAAGCGAAGGGGCAAGACGGGAGAGATTTTGCTTAAGCCAGCGGCACACGGTGCTTGTTTTCGTGCTGGATTGCTTGCTGGATGAAAATACTGCGTTCTGATTGGTGCATTTTCATCCATCTTCGAAAATATACCAATCACAACGCAGTATTTTAATCCAGCAAGCAATCCAGCACGAAAACAAGCACCGTGTGCCGCTGGCTTAAAGCGAAGTTCGTGCGAATCTGGTGAAATAGGCTGCATTTGCACTTGAACAACGATTGTCGAATAAGTGGATTGGTTGTTGGATAGGGAATATTTGGTATCTCCAGAAATACGGCATTTTTCGATGAAAGTTCTTTCATGAATTAAGGAGTTCAATAGATATTTCATATCTGTGACAGTTGGATGTGGTTCTTGTAACTACGCATAATTTTTTGATCGTGGGGACTGTGTACGCGCTGTCTCTGTTTTTCTTTTTACATCATATTACTGGGAAATGGCGTATGGACATTGCTGTATGCAGTCCGGAGCCATATAACGAACTGAACTGAACTAAACTGGATATTTCATAGCCAGTGACCGAAGTATCCGTGAGGTAAATCTCAAATTGCAAATCGCGGAGATGCAACTTATCCCAGGGATTGGAATGACGCGGTGATATCACGTCTTATGTGACTTTTTTTATCGAGATATTCATTGTGAGATATGTAAGGACCGTGTGCAGATATTCGCGGGTCGACCAGCGATCAACAAATAATTATGTCGACAATGGAGGGTTCCCTCAGCAAGTGGACAAATATGGTTAATGGATGGCAATATCGATGGTTTGTTTTGGACGACAATGCTGGCCTTCTGTCTTATTATACGGTAAATATATTTTCGAGAATGCAATTACGTTAATTAGGTTACATTCTTTTCGTCCTCACATTAATTTGTGCGAGTATAGTATGGTGCATTGTAACTTGGTATATATTTTCTACATATTTTGTTGTAATTTACATACTTATCTACTTAATAAAATTTAACAACAGTTTTTATATGTACTTTTATTATTTTTAGAGCAAGGAGAAAATGATGCGCGGAGCACGTCGTGGTTGTGTACGACTGAGAGGTGCTATTATTGGTATAGATGATGAAGATGACAGTACATTTACTATCACAACATCATCCTGCAAAGATGACCCGAAGACTTTTCATTTTCAAACGCGCAATGGAGAGGAAAGAGAACGTTGGATCCGTGCACTAGAAGATACAATTCTCCGTCATTCCAATGCGGTATGCTCATGTGCATATACAACTATAAATAAACAGGGTGTTTCAAAAAGACTGCCTATATATAATTATATATTTTTATAAGAAAAAAAAATTCTATAAACAAAGTACCAAACATACAAATATAAGTTGAGTCTAAATTTAAAAAAAATTAATTTTAATGATGTGATACATGTAATATTTATTCAGATGAATTTTAAAAATTAGAAAGCTTAAAAGAAATGCTTGAAATGTATACTTGAAGTGTAAAACAATATAATTTTGGATTCTTCTCATCATGAAACATCTTGTATATTTAAACATTCCTAAAGTACTATATATTGTTCAACATCTATCTTTTATTATTTGTCAAAGTTGTTTATCGTCAGCCAGAATCAAGTAAATAATTGTTTTTAAATGGCCCCACAGATTAAAATCAAGTGTGTGAATTTGATAATTTAAATAATTATTGTATATGTATTATATTGACATTAAAATTAATTTTTTAATGTTGACTCAATATTAACTTTTTAACCAAGTGTTTTAAACACTATCTTTATGAGAACCTTCTTTTTGTCTATTTTGAGAAGAATACAATTGCATATACAGTCAATTGTTAATATTTATTTTCCTATTTTTCTTAAAACAACAAGATGGATGTAAAAAAGTCAAATAAAACAATTTTGAAATATAATCCAACAAGGAATTAATCCTTACAGAGGTGGGATCCTAAGAAATCACTACCTAAACATGATTTTGACCGCAAAGTAGCTGAGGCTGATGCTTATCTTCAACTCTTGATCGAACAAATTAAATTAATTGAAACCAAAAAAAGTGCTGCTGAGGAAGATGAAGAGAAACAGAAAAAGTATTCAGCTATTTTATTACAAGCCAATGCTATGCTTAATTCTGTTAAACATACCATTGTCCAATTACAAATTGCAAAGGTACCTTATTACATATCATTTGTTATTTCATTGATTGCTAAGCTCTGTAATACATCTGCTATTTCACTACAATTAGAACACAGCAATACCAGTTAACGGAGTATACAGAGGACCATCTAATTCTATACATGTCTCTCCACCACTTTCTCATGGTAAGAATTCTCACATAATCTATTGTTGATTGCACATTTGTGGAGCCTTGATAATTTTTGATAATCATTTAGTTTCTTACATATTTGTTTTATATAAGTTTTATATCACTTGCTTGTATGCATCAGATTCTTAAGATATAATTTTAGTTGCAGCTAGGGCGCCAGAGGCAACAGTGCAAACTGGCATCGAATTAGGCTCTGAGTGTGTGGAACCCCGGGTGCCTACGTTATCAAATGGTTAATATCATGTGCAGCATACATATTTACACCTAACATTGTTGAAAACAAGTTATATCGATTCTGTAAAGTCCATTCCCCTTTCTATCTCTTTTTTCTTTTTTGTATTTTTTTCTTGTATTAAAGCGTCACTGCACATTCTCAGTTGTAGATAGAGATCTACCAGTACCACAGTTTTCGTATTCTTCATCTGACGAGGACGACGATTACTTCGACGCTGCGGACGAGATACCAACTCCGATAGTTCAGAATCATATTACGCTGCAAGTATCACATGTTAATATTTCTGCGTAAGAGTAATTAATATTCTTCTCACCCATGCCGCCGTACGATGCATCGCCCTTGGTTGTTTCTCATTCTCTTTGCTTTAGAAGAATATGACATTTATATATTTGATAACAGTAACATGCGAATGATTTTCAGACGTTCAGATAACGAGCGATTACACTCGTCCATAGAAAGTGCCGCAGGCGATAAACGTAAGGAGCCACCTTTGCCACCTATTAAAGGCGATGGTTCGGTAGATTACGACGGTGAGTCAACATTTTATGTTGTTTGAATGTAATCGTTTTTACCGCATTATCTAAGAATTTCCTTCATACGTTCGTCAACAGTCAACAGTTTGAACTATTGTAGTCTTGACAGGCATGCGTCACCGAGTCTGCCGTTAATTGCCGAGGTCTCTGTTGATTGTGATATCTATATTCGACAAACAGATAATGATTATGAAAAGGTCTTATGATGTCTCAGTGTGCATATATTATGTCAAAGAACGCGCGGGAAAAGAAGTCGGTTAAAATTACTGTGATAAAACACCGGTTGTAATTACATGCTAATATATTCTGCATGCGACTTTCATATTGAATGCGGTTTATTGCTGCATGTTACGCTTCCCCGCATGAATTCGACGATTTTTGAAAATATCCCAGTAGTTTGATCGATGACGCAAGACGCGAAGAGATATCTGTGCGGTCTGAGGAAAATCCCTTGCTGTGTATCTGTGGTGTGTCACACATACAGTATCTTAACAATGTAAAAGATAAAGAGCGAGATAAAGGCACACACACACACACATACACAATTTATACGGCACACCAGTTCCATTGTCGATAATGCAGACCATGTTTAGCACGTTTAATCGTCTGTTTTATCCACCGCGACCATTATTGATCCCGGACGCTTCGAATGCTATCTTCGACGTGTGAATTAGTATTTCTCGCGAGCCAACACGTTCGTGAGCATTTCGTTATGTTTCTCTCGAAGTAAAGTTGCGGTTCGGTGTAAGAGAATGTTTGATCGATATGACAATGAATGAGAGAACAGAACCTCGGCAGAACCTGATGTTCTGTCGTTTGCTTTCACGACAAAGCATTCAGTTAAATATCTCGCGTTAACAAGAAACGATTCGGTCCTGAGGAAATAAGGTGTTTAGGAATGGATACTAGTTGGTCTATTCTGGCAAGACAACATGTTGGACATAACTTCAAGTCGTAAGTTATATATATGTAGAATTTAGGTTAAATTGGGAGAATTTTTGAACCTTCATATAACGTCGTACAACTCGTTTCTAAGATCGTTGGCCGTTTTGAGATCTACACAAATTGAAGTTAGCGATCCTTGAATCTCTATTTCTGTATGAATACTTATTGTACTTTAAGATGTAAATATATGTATGTCTGTTGCAGCTCTTTACGAAGAAGAAAGCGAAACAGAAAGTAAGTATATAAGCAAATATATAAATACAAGACAATGAAGAATAGAGGTTCTTACACCTTTAGTATCTTCTCTTTTTGCTTTGGTTGTTTATAGTGGATTCCATGGAGAGCCATGGATCGGTTGTGACGCATCTTCTGTCTCAAGTAAAGATCGGTATGGATTTAACAAAGGTTGCCTTACCAACATTCATTCTGGAGCGTAGGTCACTCCTGGAAATGTATGCAGATTATTTTGCTCATCCTGATCAATTTGTAAGGTACTTGCAGCAACTACTTGATTTAATAACAACACTTTCTTACACATACATATATTTGAGCAAATTATATTTTATATTTAATGTAATTATGTTTAGTTAATATATTTACATAATTAATTTTTAAAAGTATTTAGTTAATGTATTTTCATAATTTAGCATTGCAGATATGTCTACACCTAAAGAGAGGATGGTACAAGTAATTCGTTGGTACTTGTGCAGCTTTCATGCGGGACGCAAATCTGGTGTAGCCAAAAAACCGTACAATCCAATATTAGGTGAAATTTTTCGGTGTCATTGGAATATACCAAATACCGGTTATTCTGACAATATTACGGATTCAGGCAACAAACTCATATCAGATGGTCCTGTACCATGGTGCAAGGAGAATCAACTTGCTTTTCTTGCTGAACAAGTCTCACATCATCCTCCAGGTATTAAAGTGATTGTTAATTCAAGCTTTTCTCTTTGGATATCGTGGACCACATGACTTATTATTCTTTTTGATCGCAGTTAGTGCATTTTATGCTGAACACGTTGGGAAAAATATTAGTTTTGGAGCTCACGTTTGGACAAAAAGCAAATTTTTGGGCTTAAGCATAGGAGTACATAATGTGGGAAAGGGTTGGGTAAATGTACTGCAACATGGAGAGGAATATGTTCTAACTTTCCCTAATGGTTATGGCAGATCTATCCTCACTATACCATGGGTAGAGTTAGGAGGAACTGTGACTATAAGCTGCCTGCAAACTGGCTATCATGCGACGATAGAATTTTTAACAAAGCCTTTTTACGGCGGTAAACGAAATCGAATCACTTGTCAAGCGTTTCAAGCAGGAGACAAGAAACCGTTTCTAGTTATAAATGGAGAATGGAGTGGTATGATGGAAGCAAAGTGGTCGGATGGTGTAAGTTGAAACGCCTGTAATGAAGTTTGATTATGATGTTAATTAAGAAGAATCGGGTACTATGGTAACAGTAATTGAAACGTATTCACATCATCATGTTAATAAGTTGTATAACTATTCACCGATATAAACAGCCGATTACTAACAATGTTTCGTAACATTTTTCTCGATATAGAAAAGTGAGATTTTCGCCGACGTAAAAGAGCTTAGTACGGAGAGAAAATTAGTGAAAACAGTATGCGAACAAGAAGAGTGCGAGTCGCGAAGGGTTTGGCGTGACGTCACAGTTGGCCTACGTATTAACGATATGGATAAAGCTACGGCTGCAAAATGTGCAATTGAACAGAAACAAAGAGATGAGGCGCGCGTCCGAAAAGAAAATAACATAACGTGGCAAACGAAAGTAAGCGAATAATTTCTGCTCGATCCTTCTTTAATGCTCGTTTCGTGAATTATGCCAATTAGTTCTTCTGTGTGTTTGAACAGCTCTTCAAGGAAACCAAAGATGGTGGCTGGGTGTACATAAAACCTCTCGTAGACAGAATACGCAGTTCTAGTGATCAAACTAATGTTACGTAACCATGTTCAGTATAATATTATGTGATAATTTTAGACACAGCACAATACTAGGAGAGACCATGGCCTAATGCCCGTAAGAGAACTGTAATACCAGGCTTAATTCGAGACGTATGCACTTTCACATTTAAAGAATTTCCACAAATATTTTCATGCATAATGGTTCTCATTTGGAGAATTTCTGCAAATATTTATATTTTTTATTCTTATGTGCCCAATTTAAATGAAAAGAAAGATAACAACATTGATGCTCACTCTTTTATTATTCTATGCATGTTTAATTCAGTCTATCAATCACGATAAATGTGTTTTTTGTCGACATTCAGAGAAAATGTAATTCTTCTGTTTTTAATGTTTTTTTTTTCTCTTTTTCCTTGAAATAACTTTATAAAGATATTGTACACTACTATTATATCAATATTTCAAGTACACATGTATAGCAAAATTACATTTTATTATGACAATTGTGACGTTTTATTAACGTTGTAATTTGTTATAAGAAAGATTATATGTACAATTTATGCAAATCTGTATACATCGCATTGTATAGATCGTATATACCATATCATATTCAAATGTTTTATGATAGGATAGACATAGATAATACATGCGCGGTATTCTGATTATAGAATTATTTTCACGTAACTTTGGATTTTTCTCGTGTAGATAGCTACATATTTCCCTTTATATATGATGCATGGTCCACATTCCGTAATTATGAGTTTCTGAAATAAATTGCATTACTTATGCACAGAATGATATGTCCGTGGCAGCTATTTAACATTTCGTTGCTATTGCAACAGTATAAATTTCTCTGTTTCTCTACATTCCAATTTCTTTCTTACTCAAATGAATTGTTGACGCATCTGATTGATAAAATTGTATTGTAAAATACGTCCTAATAGTATTAATTACGATATATACAATTTATATTGATATAAGTATTGGAAATTCTTAATTAAACAAAATTGATTTGTTGAAGTAATGACATTCTCATTGTATTCCTAGAAAAACATAGAGGATCTAAATATTTCCCTTGGATTGCTGTGATACGTATAAGAATTATAGAAGTTATTTTAATAATCTATTCCTGATTAATCTTAGATGGGACTTTGTACTGAAAGACAGGCATATAGTGGATATTTTTTTTTATTGTATATAAAAATAAGTAAAATATATGCAAGATGTACAAAAATGGACATGGTCCGCGGTGATATCATAATACTTTGCTCACATTCTCTCGTAGTGCTATATAACCAAGAAAGTAGTCTGCAATATTTCTATTATTATGAGGCAGGCGTTCCGTCGATGACAATAAATGTTTTAATCCCGCCTCGATCATAGGTAAACTTACTTCGTGATATTCAACATTCCAATGATTATTAGTGTTAGCAATTTTGCTTGTGTCATACTTGTATAAAACTTTGGCAACACATTTCTGCTGTAACGAGATAGGTGCGTCGGTATTGATTATTTGGTGATATGGTTCTGTAATTAAATTCAATTCACGATCCATTGGTTTTATCAAAAGATAATGAGTCTGTTTGCCAATAGATGTTTGCAAGATAATTTCTTCTCCTAATATGTTAGTCAATGAGTCTTTTATGAATATTAAAAAGTCATCTAATGGATTAGTAGCATTTACAATACTTAATGTGTCATCCTGAGGTTTGTAATCTACACAACAATTCCATAATTTGAGTAAATTACACGAATAAAGCGCCCCTATATGCAGAAAGCATTTATCACAGGTTAATGTTTTATTATCTATGCGTAGATTGTTTATAAAAATATTCTTGTGCAGCAGAGCAAAGTAAGACCCATACAAGTAATCAGATTTTTGTGTTTCTATGTTTACAATATCATTAGAACTATGCTTGCAACAGAACCATTCATCTGGGCTGCACTGTATATCAGGCAAAGGTAGAGCTCGTTTAAAAGTAGTTGGCTTTGAGATAACATTCTTACAACAAGCACATAATACGATACATTCTGATGCCTTAAATAGCAATTTGATATCTTCTAAAATTGGTTGCGAACAAGTCAACTGGGCTGATTTGTTTGAATCAGTTAGCACCTCTACGCTAAAAGATCCAAATACCGAATTCAGTGGCATCATTTGTAAACGAAAACAAATCCAATTGTTCCTTATACTTAACATAGACAAAGAAGTAGGTACAATCTTTATGAATGGCAACGAGAAATCCATATTATGATCTTTGAGTACTAACGCTATGTTACTTTCCGAAAGTTTAACTTGAACATCTTTTAAATCTAGATCTTTACGCATAGCGATAAATGCATTGCACGATTGCAGTCGTGGTCTTAGTTCTAACGTTATAAATTCCATTTTTCTTATTGTTCAATAATATAACTATATCTCACGATATAGTAATAACACATTTTCAACCGTGGTCCTGAAAAAACAGTATAAAGTAAGATTCATCATATTATTTCAATATAGTTTAGATCTGCAGATCTATGTCACCGGATATCTTTATATTTACCGATCATTTGCATCCACATTCATACCGTGAACCCACTAAACTACATAAAAAGGTTAGGTTATGTTAGATATTTTCGGCAAGCTATACGCTTTTTATAGGTCAATGTAATCTAAAAGAAAGTAATTCGGTTAGAGCCATATGGCATGCGAAATTATTTTGCATTTGTGTATATACATACCTGATTTGACAAATAGAAGTTCGTCTGATTTGTCATTGAGTTGTACCATTTGAAAATAAAGATTCTTCTGATTCCCTCCGTTTTATCTGCTATTTGCGGGTAAAAAAGTTCCTTCGACTCGTCCTTTGATCGTAATGCTTGAAAATAAGAAGTGCCTGTTCCACTGTTGAGTTGTATCACTTGAAAATAGAAAGTTTGGCTGCCCTGTCGTCCAGTTATATTACGATTTCGAGATCCTTTGTGTTAACGATGTCCAGTTTTATAAAAGAAACTTCAAAATTATATATTGATACTAACTACAAGTCGAAATTCTCATTATTTTTGCTTCTACTGTCAAATTTACCGTAATTTTTATTTTCTAAAATATATAAATTTTTGTTGATATCCTTGACTTTTTAGATTAAATTTAAGTTTTCGTTTACGACTACGGCACGTTTATTAATTTTTACATATTCGTTTATTACGATTACGAATCGTCGTTTTTACAACAATTGAGCACTTATATTTACCTCCAATAATACTCGAAAATTAGTTAGACGATTTTTTATTCTCAAGTGTTACGCGATTCAATAAATCAAATAATTTTTTTACTTTTGTATAGAATAAAATAAAGCTAAGCAGACTAATCGAATGAATACTTCAATTTCTAACTTCTATTGAGAAGTAAAAGTTGTTCGGGTTTTCGTTTCATATTATTAAACATGATATTATATATTATGAAGAATAAAAATCCGAGCAGGACAAACTTTGACAAAAGTTGAGAGATCGACGTTTGGAAGATGGATCTCATTGGCTGCGTTCAATAGAACAAAATGATCAGTGAGCACTTATTGGCCGCGTTCAGTAGAACAAAGTGATCAGAGAGCGCTTAGTGATTATTGTCTGTGATTGGAGCATTTTTTTAGATTCTTCATAGACCCAGAAGTATTTACCAATCAGGAGCGAGATTTAATGGAAAATCTAGTAATGTTGTCCAACTGTTGAGTCTGCTGAATGCAGCCAGTGATTATTGGATGCATCCAGAACCACGAATGCTCACTGAGCGCTCAATGAGCTTTTACACTTGATTGGTACATTCTTTTAGATTTGAGAATATACATCAATCAGATGCAAGAGGTCACAGTGAGCATTTGTGGTTCTGGATGCACCCAATGGCCGCGTTCAGTAGACTCAACAGTTGGACAACATTACTAGATTTTCCACCGAATCTCGCTCCTGATTGGTAAATACTTCTGGATCTATGAAGAATCTAAAAGAATGCTCCAATCACAGATAATAATCACAGACAATAATCATTAAGCGCTCACTGATCACTTTGTTCTACTGAACGCGGCCATTGTCTGTGATCGGAGAATTTTTTATAGATTCTTATAGATTCTTATAGATTCTTCATAGACCCAGAAGTATTTACCAATCAGGAGCGAGATTCAGTGGAAAATCTAGTAATGTTGTCCAACTGTTGAGTCTACTGAATGCAGCCGTTGGTAAACCTGAAAGTATTTACCAATCAGAGATAAGTTTTACCGAGCAATTTGTACAACTTGTGCCTTGTGAGTGCAGCCGAAGTCTGCGAGAAAGTTCTCCATCGGCATAGAGCGTGCACACTCTAGACCCACGACTGCGACAGTTTTAGTGCACTCGTCGATTCATCTGTGACACTTTATGTGACCGTGTATGTAGTATGTGGTAGTATGTGCGGAGTGACAAGGCGCACTTGACAGCTTGCTTTGATCAGTGATACACACGCAAGTTCCGTACCGAGTGACGTAGCGACTCGCCTCCATGCATTCGTGAAGAGTACACGAGAGAGCGATGAATGCGACTCCGAGACTTGCGCAAGCGTTGTGATTCGTGCGGAAGCTGCGCGGAAGGTCGACGTGATCTAACATTCCCGGGAAGCCGTACATGAGCCGCAAGTGCACGTTGCTGACAAGTGGCAACCTGCTCCTCTCGCCGTTTAGTGTAACGCATCTAACGTTCGTTCCCGACGTGCTTCCGAACGGCCGATTACCAAATGTCAAAGAACAAACTCAACTTAACGCTACCACCTGGCTCGATAGAACCAGTGCCAGCAGTGTCACCGTCACCGCCGGTGCCACCCTTGCCCGTGGGCAACTCCGAGACCAACTCGGAACCATCAGTGATACCCAAGTAAGTCGGTGAGACAGTGTTTCGTTAGATAAGCTCATGTCAAGCGGTAGTAAAAAAATATTCTGGCGATATGGCGATATGTTTACTGCCTCTGAGATATCTAGTTGTTATAGAATTTCAATGTAAAAGTTGCCACGGATATGTAGAATATCCGAGGACCCCATCGAGGTGAATCGCTCTCGACTGCGGAGCTGTCTGTCCCCCTGCTTAGAGCTTCTGGTCGCCTCTTATATGAACGTAGCGATTCAATATCCCCTGTGTGCGATCCGATTTGCTTCTGACTGTCGCACAGATCTCCTAGGGGAGGATCGCCGTGAGACTTCGCGAATGTCTGCATTTTCGGTTTTTCAGCAATGTGATGGGTAGCATGAACATTGATGTTATTCAAGAGAAATTCGAGGAACTAGAAATGGACGAGGAGCAGAGGAAACGACTGGAGAGCTTTCTGGGGCAGAAAGAGAAAGTCGGAGAATTGTGCGATGAGGATTTTGAGAAGTTGGGCGAACTGGGCGCTGGTAACGGCGGTGTTGTCATGAAAGTTAGGCACAAAAAGTATGGCCTTATAATGGCAAGGAAGGTAGGTGGATGTCTGCCAGACTCGCGACATTCACTGTATATTTTCATGTGAAACTTGTTTGCATTTTAGTTGATACATTTGGAGGTGAAGCCAGCGATTAAGAAGCAAATAATCAGAGAGTTGAAAGTACTCCACGAGTGTAACTTTGCGCATATAGTTGGGTTTTACGGCGCTTTTTACAGGTAAATTTTACAGACAAGTTTCTCCTCGTGACACTTAACTGCAAGCTGAGCGCATGTGGTGTGCATTACAGTGACGGAGAAATTAGCATATGCATGGAGTACATGGATGGTGGATCCTTAGACCTGATATTGAAAAAAGCAGGACGAATTCCAGAACCAATCCTAAGCACAATCACATTCGCTGTAAGTGACACTTTTATTGCTAGAGTCGTCTGAGAAATAAATTCTTCTTAAACAAATTCTACGATATGAGGTAACGATCACACACATTGGAAGAACGGAAGAACGGAACACATTCACGTACGCGGACACCGCGCGTTGCGCGGTCGATTATAATCGGTAACTGAAAATGTGCGAATATCGGGAAAAAGCGACTGTTCTCCTTCACGGGTCTCTGACAAAGCGTCGTCAATAGTACGTCTCTCTCTCCATGATGCCGCTGGGAAAGTGGCGGATGCACCAGCGTCTCATTTCATCGTAACACCAGAGAAACATGACGAGCGGTAGGCAGGGCCAGTAACTGTAAGCTTTCAGAGGCATAGTCTTCAGCACGTACTCCGTGCCAGGAACGTACAATAAGATCCCCGTTAACACGACCTCAAAGATGAAGGAGAAGTTGACAAACCAATTGCTCATTCCTTGCTGGAAGATGGAGTTGCGTCTGGTCTTGCTCATTACCAAGTCCACCATCTGCGATATCACGATGGAGAGGAAGTAGCCACTTCGCGCCTCGTTCAACAGGTTCATCCTGTCCTCGTAGGTCCATGTCTGGCCCCACGAGTCCTGCAGATCGTTGATCGACGGATTCTCCCAGTCAATCCGCAGACCGAACAGACGATCGGGCATGAAGCCGTTCATCATGAGCACCATGAAATAGGTGTAGAACCCGGCGAACGACTGTGTCATCCCGATCTGACCGTAGGTGATGGATATCATCCGCTTGTTCACCAGCTTGTCGTACTGGGGATTTCGCGGTGCCCGGCGCATTATGTCGGACTCGGCCTTCTCGTAAGCTAGCGCGATCGCCGGGATGAGATCGGTGCCGACGTCTATGCAGATGATCAGCTCGATGACCAAAGGCAGCGGAATGGCGAGTATCAGGCCGCTCAGCATCGGCAGCATCTCCGGCACGCTGGACGTCAGAGTGTACGCGATCGACTTCTTCAGATTGTCGAATATCAGTCGGCCCTCCTCCACGCCGGTGACGATCGACGCGAAGTTGTCATCCATCAGTATCATGTCCGCCGCGTTCTTGGCGACGTCGGAGCCGGCGATGCCCATGGCGATCCCGATGTCGGCCTTCCGCAAGGCCGGTGAATCGTTGACGCCGTCGCCGGTCACCGCCACGACCTCGCCCAGCCGTTGGCAGCTCTCCACGATCAGCAATTTCTGCTGCGGCGATGTCCTCGCAAATACGATCTCCTCGTACTTGCGTATCACGTTGTCCAGTTGACCGGAGTCCATGTCCCGCAACTCGCTGCCAGTGATGATGATCGCTTCCGTGTCCACGTCGGTCAGCTGCGTGTAAGACTTGTTCTGCAGGATCGCCCTTTCGTAGTGGGTCTCGTGGCCTTCGCTGATGATGCCCACCTTCTTGGCGATCGCCATCGCCGTGACCGGGTGATCGCCCGTGATCATGATCACTTTGATGCCGGCGGTGCGGCATCTCTCCACCGCCTCGGGCACACCCGGCCGTGGCGGGTCCCGCAAGCTCACCAAGCCAACGAACCTGTAGCCCTTGGTGGGGAAGTTGAAAGTCGCGGGCGAGTCGGTGCTGAACTTATAATTCGGCCCGTACGCGTTCGCGGGTAGGTGCAGGTCGCAGTACGCCAGCACTCGCTCACCGAGGTAGCCCAGCTCCGTGCAGGCTCTGCGGGATATCGAGTGATCATTCGCGGTCATGTCGTGGGTCGTACCGTCAGTATTGAGGATCCTTGTGCAGTACTCCAGTATAACCTCCGGCGCTCCCTTCATGATTATCATGTAGCCGTTGACGTCCCGATGTATCGACATCTGGTACTTGGTGACGGGGCTGAATGGGATCTCGGCGACCTTGGGATACACGTCGCGGAAGCGCTGGGTGGAATGGATGTGTTCCCAGAAGCGGAGAATCCCAGTCTCGGACGCGTCGCCGATCACCTCGCGCTCCTCGATGGGCGCCAACATATAGGACTCTCTGGTGAACTCGGCGTGCAGGCAGAGTGTGCACACCTTCATCATGACGTTGAAGGCCGGCTTCTCTAACAGCAGGTCCCGCTCGACGCCCATCCGCTCGCCCGGCGGGAAGTTGTACCTGGTGTGGCCGAACCAGAGGTTCGACACGGACATCTTGTTCTGCGTGAGGGTGCCGGTCTTGTCGGAGCAGATCGTCGAGGTCGAGCCCAGCGTCTCGACCGCCTCCAGATTCTTCACCAGGCAGTTCTTATTCGCCATCTTCTGCGCGGTTAACGTCAAGCACGTCGTCACGGTGACCAGCAGCACCTCGGGCACGTTGGCGATCACTATGCCCAGCAGATAGGTAAACGCCCGCACGATATTCGGCTCCAGCATTAGCGACAACCCGAAAAAGATGACCCCAAACAAGATCGCCACGAACGTAATGATCTCGACGAAGTGTCTAATCTCCTTAGCGATCGGCGTCTCGATCTTGGGCAAGTGCGACGTGAGTCCGGCAAGACGGCCGATCATGGTGCGGTCGCCCGTGGCGATGACGATCCCCTTACCCTCGCCGGCCACGGCAAACGACGAGAAGAAGGCCACGTTGGCGGACTCGAGGGGGTTGTTGTCGGTGGGGTAATTCGTACGGGCCACCGGCTCGCTCTCGCCGGTGATACTGGAGTTCTCCACCCTGAGGCCATGGCAGTCGATGATCCTGATGTCGGCCGGTATCTTGTCTCCCATACGGATCTCCACGAGGTCACCCAGAACCAACTCCTCCGTGGGCACTCGTAGCTTAACACCACCGCGGTACACCGTGGCGAAAGTCGGCGTCATCTTCTCGAAGGACTCCATCACCTTGATGTTCTTCGTCTCCTGTATGTACGCAAATACACCCGAGATGATGCAGATGAGAACGATGATCACGCCCAACCAGACGATGCCGATGTCGGGCTCCTCCATTAAGTAAGTGACGAAGTAGAGGATGAAGCAGAGGCCTGCGCAGACCCAGAGCAGCAACGCGAAACCGTGGAACATGCACTTGAGGAACTTGAGATACTCCGGAGTAACCTTGGGCGGCGACAAGGCGTTCGGGCCGTCTCGTAGGAAGATGGCGCGCACTTGTTCCTCCGTTAGACCCATCTTCGGGTCAGTGTTGAGTTTCTCGCACAGAGCACTCAAGGCTATTACGTGGTCGACCGTCTGCAGCTCCTCGTGCAACTCTTGTATCTCCTGCTCGGTCAGTTTCTTCTTGTGCACGTGTATGGAGGATGTGCGGGCCAGCACCGCTTGCTGCACCTTCGAAGAGCTCGGCTGCATCTCTCTCGCAACGTGCTGAACGTGGTCTTACAAGATAGAAGGGGGATATTTCCATGAGAAGGATGCAGGCATCGTATCAGTAGCTGCTGCCACTTGAAACTTCTGTCTGTGTGTGTGTGTGTGTCTCTCTGGTGAGATACTCGAGCCTTGCGTTCGGAGTTTGCTTGGCTTCTCGACTGAATATATCCGATGATCGCGATACAAGTGGAAAAATTCGCATCTAACTCTCTGGAACTTCAAACCTGAGTGTCTCACCCGAGACAAGTTTCAAGCGACAAATCGATACGAGTCATAAGCCGTATGTGTGCGTGTGTGTGCGTGTGCGTATATGAATAACATTTGAAAGACTGTGAAAAACGTGAAAAACTTGATGAGAAGCTGTTGCATCTTCCTCCTATGTTCACAGCGATGCAATCATCATTACCGCCAACTGCCGCTTTGTCTCTACGAGTCTTGTCTTCTGTTACAGGTGCTAAAGGGCTTGAGTTACTTGCGGGACAAACACGCTATAATGCATCGCGACGTGAAGCCGAGCAACATTTTGGTCAATAGCGCGGGAGAAATTAAGATATGCGATTTCGGTGTCTCCGGGCAATTGATCGATTCGATGGCCAATTCGTTCGTCGGCACACGAAGTTACATGTCGGTAAGCTCAGTTTTGCTGTGTACTCGTTTGTAGTGTGTGTGTTCTCAAGTTCTTAAATTTTTTCGAATGAAATTCCGCCTGAGAAGTGGAGGGACAAACAAAACAGGTTTGGGTAAACATTCATTCTCTTATGATTCCGGCCATAATTGTTTCGAGTGAATTTTTATTTGTTTTCAGGCAGCTTTTATTTCAAGGAATTGTCTAGAGAGAAGAGATAGAGTAAATTCGAAGAAATTTCTCTTTCTCTGAATGCCTTTCAATGAAATTTCACTCGAAGAATGGGGGGGGGGAATGACAGCCGAGTCATTCGTTGAATTTCACTAACTTTTCACTCGTATAAAGTGAATTTGTCCATTTTTATTATTGGCAGAATGTTTACTGTGCTGCTTTGAGCAAAATATTCTTTCCGCTTGATATCTTGAGCAATGTTCAGTAAGATATCACGCTCTACAAATGTATTTTTGGGTGCGATTAATATGGAAACTTTTCAGCCAGAGAGACTGCAAGGGTCACATTATTCGGTACAAAGCGATATCTGGTCGTTGGGACTATCGCTGGTTGAAATGGCAATCGGTCAATATCCCATTCCGCCACCGGACGAGAAGACTTTAACTTCCATATTCAGTCCACAGTCGGTTCAACCGCCCGTGGAGAATGCGACGAGCAGTGTACCCACGCCGACTACTCAGTCGCCAGGACATAGTCAGTGTCTCGCTCAAGTTTTAATCTGAGTGCTATCGACGCCGCGTATGCGGCTTCACGATGAGAATTTTGCGACGAATTATCGGCGCTTTCGAAGGCTCTCTCATTGACACGTTCAATTCAACTCAGCTTGTTAGCCGTTAGCTCGTTAACAGTTCCAGTTATAAGCTTTATTATTTTAAGATTAGAACATTTAAGATTAGATGATTCATTTCCGCTCTACTTGAGACCGCTAATCAGCAACAGAAGAAACATTCAACCATCTGGTTGAGTTCCGGCATCGATAAGATATTGAAGACCGTCAGCCTTGAGCAAATTTTCATGACCAGAGAGGCTTGGAGCAGCCCGAAAGCGATCGAATAAAGATAATTGTCGACTGGGCATTTAACATTGTAACATATAGGCATGAATTTTATACACAGAGCTACCGATCGATGAAGTACGTTAAATATTTTTGTGCAATTTCTGCATTTCCGCAGTTATCATCTAATTTAACGCAGAATTTGTCGTGAATTTGTTATCGAGTTACCGTTATAATCTGTCCGCTAAACAACGATATTTGTCGTTAAATCCCGTTAAAGGCTGACTGTCTTCAACTTTTGTCTCGTCGATGATTCCAGCCACAGAATTCATTTCTATCTCCATCATCGCGAACGCGATTGCCCTCTGTGTAATTCTCGACAATTCCTCCATCGTGCAGGCGCAAACAGTCCGAGACCCATGGCCATATTCGAGCTGTTGGACTACATAGTGAACGAGCCGCCGCCGAAACTACCGCCCGGAGTGTTCAGTGACACCTTCACGGATTTCGTCGACCGGTGCTTGAAGAAGAATCCAGCCGATAGAGCGGACTTGAAGACGTTAATGGTGCGTGTCCCGGATGGAGGAGAGTCCGTGTTTGGTAAAAACGCTGGAGAGAAGAGACTCGTCATATCTCATCGGTGTCTTTCTTTGTTTCTTGCTAGAATCACGAGTGGATAAAGAAGGCCGAGTCGGAGAACGTGGACATCGCCGGATGGGTGTGCCGCACGATGGACCTGCAGCCAACTACGCCAACACGCTTAGCAAGCGTGCAGTCCTGAATAGATGTAACTCTTACATACTTGGCTACATATATGCGCGTTCGGTATTCCTAAGTCACTTTTAAGTTTATCTTAGGTTCTATTCGGTCGAACAGTGGCGTTTATCCGTTGTACTCTCTCTTCTTCGGTCTCGCGGTATCTTTTAATAAAATCCACGCATCAGGACTCAGGATGCGTTCGCGTCCAGCACCGGGCGATTCGTACGTGGTATATAGTAGGAATTTTACCCTGCGGGAACGGTTGTTAGGACCAATCGATTGATGTACTGTGTATTGATGTCACTTATCTCGTCGTCGGTCTCTCTTGATTTTGACGGGGGGGAAGCGTAATTCGAGTGTAATACGATATAGATGATGCAATCTTTTGAAACTGTTGTCGCCGAGAGCGCTACGTCGTCATCGAGATGATCGTTTGCACGCAGCACGCCACTGTGCCAGGTATTAATTTCGGAGGTTTCACTTTTATGTGTTCCTTTTAAACTTTGGTTGAAAGTATGTAAGACGAGAAAAGTATCACAATATAAGTTCATTATTAGAGACTCATGGGCAAATTGTGTTCCCCGTGATATGATATTTAGGATACACGAATGTGAACATCGAACATATAAGAGAAAGAAAGGGGAAGAGAGAGAGAAAGAGAGAGAGAGAGAGAGAGAGAGAAGAGAAAGGAAGAAAATATCGTTTGAAGAAGTGAACAACAAGAAAAGAAAAATTAACTAGATCAAGTTACTTGTATAACATTTGTACCTGACATCCGTAGGAGCGTTATTTACACGATCAAAAAACTTTATTCTATGGTCACGTTGAACTGTTGTTGGTTTCTCTTAGCAATGCATGGCTGCGATTAAGCGTGATTCCGAGTCTTATGTTCTCTCTTCTACATAGATGAGACACATCTCTCATTACGAGACGATTCATTCAGAGAGAAGAATAGAAAGAAGGAAAGGAGGAGAATATATGAGAAACGTTTTCTGGGAAGGAGAGGCTTAAACCTGATTTGTCACATAATCGCGGCCTCACGAATAATTGAATACTTCGTAACACGGTTTGATCTACGTTCACATATTCAATAGGTAGTATTAATCTGTGAATCCTTTTGCTGCAAAGGATGAACAGTACGTCGCATCGCAGTCTCATTGTTTGAAAATTAAAGAGAGGAAAAGAGAAGGAGAAAGAGAGAGAGAGAGAGAGAGAGAGAGAGAGAGAATGAGTGAGAGAAACAAAGAAAAAGAAAGAAGGGACTCGTCTGCAGCGAAAGGATTGACCCTTGTGTGTGTACAAACGCACGCTGGATCCGTTCGTGTGCAGTTTTTATAGGGCGTATTTCTCAAAAATGTCAAGCCGCTTGTGACTATCAACGACCAACTTGAAATTCACGAGTTCACATTCGAGAAGTAGATATGATGTAATGCAGGTATGTGTTATAATGCAGGTCTCTGATTTTCCACCGTTTTCTTTCGTGTTGTACGCGTCGTATTATCGTCAAGTGTATGTTATCGTCAAGTGTATGTTATCGTCAAGTGTATGTTATCGGCAAGTGTATGTTATCGTCAAGTGTAAATATGAGCTGCCGCTCATATTTAAGTAGACGTTTGATTTTTTTAGTACTTAACAATTACACAATATCATTGGTGAGAGAGAAAGAGAGAGAGAGAGAGAGAGAGAGAGAGAGAGAGAGAGAGAGAGAGAGAGAGAGAAAGGGAGAGAGGAGAGAAAGAATCGAAAGAGATTTAATATATCCGTCGGAATTATGAGCGCGAGTTGGTCCGTCAGTGACAGTGCAATAGGATCATTGTGGAGCACAGGATTAGACTGTACACATATATTCAAATCATAATAGTACCATCAATTTGTGAATTCGTTGGAACTTCTTATTCCGAACACGATATATTTTATAGATGCAGTCTACAAATTAGTCTCGCGTTGCGTGTGACAGTAGCCGTCTCCGAATTGGCTTAAAAATTGTCGGATTGTGTTACGAGTATATCTTGACATTTGTGAGCGAGATATTTCCCTTTCGATCTTTCCGCCCCCTAGTATGCGTAGAAGCGTAAGACGCTCAAAAACTGTCATGTTATGTTTATCTCGCAATTAACAGCAACATCAATAACAACAATATATATATATATATATATATACAATTGTTGTTATATACATGAAACAAACGCATATAATGCCATTTGTTGTAAAGTGATCTCTATAATCGACTACAGGAGGACAATATACACATATGTTTAGCTACAAAAAGATCACATCGTAAAGTGTATGAGATATTTCCATATAATTTAGCGATTTTATCAAGCGATAAATCATAATCTCTCGCGTAAAGGCTCATAATTCCTATCACTTATTAAAATACGTGCACATTCCTTGTTGCAAATATGTGCATAACAATTACAGTTGTATGGATTCACTGTCTAAGCGTCATAATTGTAAGTACAATAAAATTATCAATATTGCAAGTGTAAGTCTCCCACACTTTATATCTCAACACCCGAGTATGTGATTATACGTAACATTTCCAAATGAAGCTTCGTTCATCTACTTTGACGATTTTTAGTTTTCATTAACTTAAGGAAGTTTAAGACTCGTCAAAGTAGCTACTTTGGATTGGAGAACATTCAAGGAGAAAAGCAGCAATATTCAATATTTCTTAAGAACAGAAGGAAACTTAATTGAAAACAGCAATACCATGCTGTTTGAATGAAGACTATTATATATAATTGAAGACAAAATATTTGAGAAAAAGATTTATTAGTTATTTATAAATATCATTCAATAAATTGAACAACTCTTCGCATTCGAAACAACCCAGCAAATAGAAATCTAATTTATAAATTTATTATTAATTTTCAAAGTGTCATCAGGGGCTTACAAACGTTTGTTGGATTGAATTGAATTTCATTGGTTTAACAGACGAATCATTTGACAGATGCAGAATAGGACAAATGTTTGAAAGATAGAAGAAAATTATAGACATTTTGAATGGACAATACATATGTACTATTTTGTTACTATTAACCGTCGTTACTTACTTAGGTACGACTTGACTAAGACATTAGGTCTACACGATTTCCGAAACTACCAATAATGCGGGGGTTAATCAGAAAAACACAACTGAAGGCTTAACAATGGTAAGATTGGTACTTTTACGCATCTAAAACTATATAAATCTTTGTAAATTTAAATAATCCCTTCAATGGCGAGAAACTTACAGAGCGTTGATTCGTCAACATGCGACTAAATTAAATTAAGAGTTTTCCATATGAATATAATTTTTAATTTCGCCCCGAATTTCTACTTATATATATGAATCCTATATATACACGTTAAAATAACGTTAAATACTTTTTTAAAACACTTTAAACGAAGAATTAATACAAAATAAACATTAAATAAATATTTTTTGCACAATGGATGAATAGAAATGTGAAGAAAATATAAAATAAATATTTGAAAAGCATTAAAAAAATATTGTCTGCTGATCGAGACGTGTTATATTCCGTTTTATTTACTGTTATATGTGTATATATATATATATATATATATCTTTTTTCCAAAAATATTTTTCAGTAATGTTATGGAGCACAACGATACCTCCATATTGCTTGCTTATGCGATACCGAGCATGTCGCATATGCGCGTGAAACCTTATCACCAACCCGTATATGGCATCCGTACGAATGGTTCTGGCCTAATGAAATTAACAGTTTGCAAAAATGGGGATACTGCATCTGTCAATACAATTTGTGTTCCTTGAATAAACATTTTTAATATCACGTTATTCGTTCGACTATCGCATATTCGCTTAGCAACCTCGTAAGTAGCGTTTGTGATGTTACAACATTGCGAAAGATCTAATAGTTGTAATTGAGGTGAAGATACAAGAATTTTGCATACCCCATGGTCAGTTATCAACGGACACGAGTGGCATTCAAATATTTTTAGATTTACTAAATTCTTCAAACTATGATTGGTGATGTTCGTCAAAAAATTGATATATAAATATTCCAGTTTTGACAATCCTGCAATAGCTATTATTCCAGTATCGGTCACTTTGTCACAACCTGTTGAACAAGAGAGATCGTATATATTTAAAATGTTTAGAATGTGGGACATATGTAAAAAGTATATAGCAATATAATTTACCTGAAATGTCTAAATGGGTAATCTGCGGACAGTTGAGTGCTACATTAATGAGCTGCTCGTTTGATAATGCAAAGAAGTGTGTAATTTCCAACCGTCGCAGATTAACAAGGTTGGTAAATTGTATATTCATATTATATAGCCAACCGGCGCGTCCACAAATTCGTAAATCTGTCAAACTTTTACAGTGATCGCTGATTGCTTCCATTATCTTCTCACCAATGTGGCAGCAATTCAATAATTTAAGACATTCTAAATTTTTCAGTCTTGCTAATGCCTGTATTAAAACATTAACGTCGCGTATTAATGACAGTTGTCATAAAAGGAAAAATTAGAAAGAAGGGCTTTCACTCACTGTGGAAAGATTAGCATCGGTAATCTTATGGCATTCCTTTATCACCAGCGTGCGCAACATCTGAGCTGGTAGATATGACAGGCATGTACCGAAAATATTATCATTGCCTCTTGCCTCAAAATAACTCAGATCTTCGTATTCTTTGAAAACATTCTTTAAGTCATTGTCCGAAATATCTGCCACTGATCCTATACTGAGATAAGTTATCTTTTTACATTTTTTCGTTAAAGTATGCAAGTCCATCGGACAAATTGGTAATGAAGAACCATCAATACATGTAAGATTGGGGCAAAAATATGCAATTATTGGTAATGTATTTATGGATAAGTCATTCGGTACATCGGACAGATGTATGTGTGTTATGAATTTGCCACATCTTAATAACACTCTCCGTAGCATAGCTGTATTAATAGGGCGTATTTGTTGACCCCATGTAGAGTAAGATAAGTCTAATTTCTTCACTGTATGCCAAGATTTTAGACTCAAGACTCTCCAATGTTTGCACACTACAAACATAGTAAATAAAATAAAATGCATGTATACAAGTCTCATAGAAAAAAAATAAGCCATACAAATAATCATAATTGACATTTGTTGAATTCTTACCTCTTTCCGAACGGATTCTGTCATTAACTGATAAAAAATTAAAAATATATATCAAGCAATCATCATTCAGCATATGAATAGGTGTATCTTTAATGTTTAGTGCATATCTATGAGTGGAGTTTAACTCTAAGTGCAGCCATCTCTCACGAAGTTTTTGTTCTATACTATCAGGTTGATTCCAAAGATCTGCAGCCATTACTATTAAGTCCCTATTGTGCAATCTTATTTGCTTACAATATCCATCCCGCCAAGCACTACAAATGATTAAATGTTATTAGATGATAATAATAGAGATTGATGTTAATGTTTTTTATTAAAATGTACCTTGACGCACTATCAACATTCATAAATGTAACAAAAGCACAGTTCCTCTTTTTTTCATTTCTATACAAGTAACAACTTTCAACCTTGCCGTACACAGAAAAGAGATTTTGCACATCTTTAGAAGTAGCCTGTAATAAAGTTCAGTCAGTTAGTACATGTGTCATTCTGCTGGCAAAATATAATTTTAAGCTTGTCGGTACAGCTAGTATTTCCTACATAATATCATTCAGTAACTGAAAATAATAAGACTTTAAGATATTTCTCTTTTTGCGCACGGCAATCATGTGGATATTCTGGTGAAAAAAAATTCCCATATCTTACAAAATTTTAAGAATTTGTCATACTTTAGATTTATGAGAAACTCAGAAAACCAAAATACAAATTTATTTAAATTTGGTAATATCTTATGAAATTTATATTAAAATATTATATTATTGATATTAATATTAAAAATTATATTTATATTAATATTAAAAATAAAAAAAAACAGTTTGGAATATTTTGGAATTTATACTTATAAATTCTTCAAAATTATACAAATTCCTGAATAAATTATATATATTTTTACAAAGATTTATTCACAGAAAAAATATAAAATATCTTATTATTAATCAGAATATTTACATGAGAAATTCTTTAAAAATTTAAACTTACTCATGCTTTCTTACATTGAGATTCAAATTTATTCACAGCAAAAAAATTATTTATAAGAATATCACAATGTGGAAAGTAAATATTTTTATTAAAGTATTTATAAAATACATATCATACAAAAAAAATATTTGACATTTTCAAGAACCTCTGAATTTTTGTGAAAATTTTGAAATTATATGAATGATTCTAAATATTTCTCACCAGGGCATCTTCTATATAACTAGTATATTATTTTAAAATGCTCGTTGATTTTAATCGACAATCATACCGAAAAGTTAATACCAACGAGAAAAATAAGAATATATGAGACAAACCCTTTCAGCTAAATTGCCGATGAACAATTTTCGTATCGGAACACCATCTATTGATTTCGAGGATATCTCATCTGCAAAAAGAATAAATAAGCGTGAGATTTAGTTTAATAGGCGGTATAATACGTGCGATATTTTGTTTGGTTAACAATTCGCAATCTTCAAAGACAACTTACCTTCATTTATATATGCATTTATTTCACGATATATTTGCCTATAACGGTCCTCCAAAGTGCTTATGGTAGATTCTATTTCGTCAGCTTCGTTATTTTCCATTTGTTATTTTCTAAATAACTTCTCAATATCCTCAAGTCCAAACACACGTGAGAATTGGGGGTCAATCGCTCAATTCTCGAAAGGACACGTGATTTTGACTGTATAATCATAGGCCGGTATTCAGGTCTTATATTTACTTCAATCAGGTCTTATATTTACTTTAGACCGTCTTAAGTTCACTTTCAGATAGCCCATACCCAATAAAATTATTTGTACAGCATCTGCAGATAAACTTAAGACGGCTTAAATATAAGATCCGACGATTCTTTATTGATTTCCCCCACCACGCACACGCACACATACACACACACATACACACACACACACACACACACACAACACACACAGCTGGCTCGGTCTATTCGTATGAGACGGATCTGATAATAATATCTAAGAGATAATAGTATCTAAGATAGTCGGATCTCGGTTTATTTGTATGACAGTCGATTCGATTTGCAATTACTGACACCTGTCGGTATAACAGTATGGCGTTACGTCCGTCGCACTCTCCCCCTCTTATTTTGCAGATATGCTCCTTCCTTATGTTCTTTATTCAATGATGTTTATATGGTCAAAGGTGGCGAGGTAGTAATTTTAATGCTGACAATATTGACGATATACATTTTACGTCACATATACTATAGATTTACCACATACCAGACACGCTAGAACACGACTTCGATATCTCGAATTGTCTGATTCGATCGACTTATCGACTGTGGGTAGTGAGAATGAAAGATGTCCGGATCAAAATTTTTCGTATAATGTGTTGAAACTCATGCACCATATAATGATCGAGAAACAATGGTCCACGCTGTATTTGATAATATAAAAATAATGTCCGACACACGCGACGAAAGACACATCATTGCTGCCAAGAGGTATGACGGATGCTTGATGTTGCTTCGAAGTTTGCCGAATAAGTAGTGAAAGATATTCAACTTCTTAAATGGAACAAACGATAAAGACTGACGCATTTGTGCTCTGTAGATACTTGAACTTTTACTCTCTGATAATCGCAGAATCGTTGCGTTTCGAAGAGATTTCCCAGTAAACGTGGAACATTAGATTAATATTAAAAACATGAGAGATTAAAAACATGAGAGATATTAAATCTGTAGAAATATTAATTTCACGTAATGTTTGTTATCTCTTAAACGTTTTCATTCAACATTTTGCAAATGCGTATTCTCTCAATTGCACGAGAACAATTTCCTCTCGATTCGCGTGATTTCACAGGCTAACATCCAGCGCGTGATATATCGTAAGAGCGCACGCTACAGAACATGGCCGCCTTCTTCGAGAACCCGTTGTTTCTTTTCGTCGACGAAACAGAGCCGATTCTTCCAATTTTCCGATCTCCCGAATACAATGATTCGGGAAGAAAAATCGTGGAATTAACAGACGTTGGTTGCGACACGGAAACGACATTTCCCATACACTTTTTACGCGGCAAATTCAACAGGCGACGTGGAGTAGCCGACAGCTTTAGGTCGGCTCGTAAAATCGCTAAACAACGCAATGAAAGACCGACAAGTTTTTCTTCCCGTACAGTCACAATTCTAGATGACTTTCAAGTAAGTCTAACCGATTGCTACAATACACGAATGCTTCCTCAGCCAACATGATGATGTCAGATATCATACTAATGACATCTTAATAAATATTAAGTAACAGTAACATTACCATCAATGTTGTAACTTTCCATTTAACAATACGAGTACAATGTGACACGTGTACACAACAGTTACATTGCCGAGAGTGGAAAATTATAACTTTAATGTTGTGTTACATATTCGATGTCAGAGACATCATCAACACGCCATTTGTGATTTCACCCGTAATGTGTATTTATTAGTGTATTTTATATCTTGTATTTATAATAATATAACGCCTATAAACTATACAAATTTCTTTACCTGATAACCAAAGTATCCCCTTTTCCTCAGCCTATTACGTTTCCTCTTTTCTTCTCGATCGTATAGGACAAAAAGGCAAGATACACGAAGAACAAATTGTGGCGGAACGATCGAAGCGACGGTTACGGTCATACGTACTCCACCGGACCGAATTGCAATGCATATGCTGAGGATTCCTACGATGACTGGGAGTTTTCGAAAAATGATTCCGCCGTTGGGTACAACAATTACTACACCGAGTCCGTCAGTCTTCGGAATATGACCGGACATTCACGGAAGGAACGTCCGTCTCCGAATATGTCGAAGTATCCAAGAAACTTCGAGATTTCACCTTCACCTTCACCTTCACGAGGAAATCGCGTGTCTCGAGAGCGCGCTCGTTATCAAAGAGAGAACACGTGCCCGTTGTGGTTCGACGAAGACGAGAGACGCTCTTACAAAGCTCATAACATTGACGTTCGGTCGAGACGATTGCCGTTGAGCGAGCATAGAAAACGAATGAGGGTTTCTCCGGGAACGGGTAACTGTCTCAACCGCGGCGTGGGTACGTTGCCTGAAAGCGATTTATTATATTATTTGGTTTCGATAAAATCTCCGGAATTTCGAAAAAAATGAAGGATATAAGTTCTCGAGTGGATAAATATACTTTTACATCTCGATTTTCGTTGACTCTATTTCAGAATGCACAAAAGACCGCGTTGGACAGGAACTACGAGAACAAGAAGACGTTTCGTTCAGCTACGTCGATCCCGTCGGGTTTTCAAAAAATGATATTTGGGATTTCACTTTGGAGAACGAGCCAATTTATGAGGAATCGATATGCTCAGATTCTACAACGGCGAATAATCAGTATTTGTGGGAAATGACGTCTCAGAATCTCGATTCGCAGCAGGCTCATGTGAACGTTACGGACTCGGAAAATAGCGAGTTTATGAAAACGCGCGAGAAAAACAACTCCGCGAACTCATTGTCTTCAAAGGATGCGACCAACAGCGAGAAGCCCAAGGCCTTTCGATCAAATTTGCCCGATACGAATACTCCCCGCGTTCGATCAGCGGGAGTAAGCACCGATCAGCGGTTGTCAAATGTACATTCTACTGGTAAAGGTAAATCCCAGACATCGCAAACTTCTAAAAGACATTTTAAGGATATTTAATATACCATTGCTAAAAAAAGTGATTGTTCGATTTACTACTTTACTTTTCTGCTTGTAAATAATTTTATTATTTACTTTTAATTATTTTTAATAATAAATATTTTTCTGATAATTTCTAAAAATATATCTATCGCAAATTTTAAAAAAGCTCGTTATCATATATTCGAGAGAGGAATTTATTTTTGTTTCAAAAATATAAAACTTTACATAAAAAGCAAATATTTGCTTTTTTTTAATTTGACTTTGTATCTTTTATTTAATTTAATATTTTCCTGTTTAAAGTAAACTAAATTTATTAGGATTCAGAATGTATATGGAATAAATTTGATGCTTATTACTACAATGTTAATGACAGTAATCTTAAGCAAGTATATTGCAACTATTATTTTTTTGTTAAAACAATTGTTAAAACAATTTGTTAAAACAACAAAAGATATAATAAGCTCCGAAAATAATTATAATTTTTGGTAAGATTAATCATTTTTCCTCACTACACCTGAAAAAAGTAAAATAACTTTTGGACATCTTTAACACATTTGGTAACCCACGTCACAGACAGAGTGTGTGACAGAAAAAATCTCTTTCTACATTACATCAACAAATTAATTAAGTCTGTTTTGCACAACTATGCGAAAAATATACAAGTTAAGATTTCTCAGGGCATGAAATGCGTAGTGATCTGTTATATGGACCGCGTTACTAATAAGTAATTCTTGAAAGCCCCGGTAGATGTCCTTACGGTGACAATATTTGAATTCAAGCGCATCATAATGATGCGTGCGCAGTCGCTTTGTTAAAGTTATTAACAGTCGTGTTTGCGCCACTTTTACGATTGAAACGTAAGTCTATTACATCATAATTCTATATATTAAGTAGTCAAATCGTGCTAAGAAATATCTACGGTATCGTTATACACACGAGGCAATAACAAACGTCTCGTCAAGTCGTCCGTTTACTTTCCGTTCGTATAAATTACACACACATTTTCGCAGCTACGACGAATATGAGGTTACATTCGGCGCTTGAAGAGAGAAAGAACAACACGGGCCATGCGACACCGACTGAGAGAAGGACAGAAACCGCGAATTTGAGCTGCGCACGAACGCGAACGAACGATCGTCGGCGTGACAACAACTCCGGCAAAACTCAAGTTAGGACCGGACGATCTGCCAGAAAGGTAGAAAAGGATGTCGCGGACTCACCGATCAAAATCACCGATCGCACACACGGAAAAAGTAACGCAGGTTCTCGCGCCAAAAGTGCTGATAAAAATGGCGGAATCAAGCGAACCGATCAAACAGTCCTATCGCGATCGACGCCCGAGAAGCTAACAGAGATCAAAAAAGCGTTCACCTCGGCTAGTACAGAAGTGGAGAAGAAGCAGAAGATCTCCAGGTTGCCCGTGAGAACGTGGAAACGCATGCGAACGAGGGAACCCGCCGCGTTGCATCTCAAGACCGGGCAAATGACGGGCGTGGCTGTTGCTACTGGAAAGCCTGAAGATGCGGACGTTGCTTTCGAAAATGCGCAGCTGAGCAACCCGAGGACCGCTGAGGATGACGAAGAGCGCGAAAAAATGGCGAGAGACCGCGCGAGCGGACGTCGCGACGATCTAAAGCCGAACGATCGTTACAGAACGGGGGGATTGTCCGTCGCCGATAAACCAGGGTCGGCCCCCGCCGATCTGAAAGGTTTAAAGGGGACCAAGAGCTTCAACATATCGAAAGGGATGTCTGACCGGCTAAAAAAAAGAACGAATTAGCCGTATTATTAGAATTGGAATAAGAATCAGGTATGGGTTATTATCTTGCAAGTAATGAGAGCAAGATGAAGACGGAGGAAGTATTGCGGTGAAATTTGCAATAAAATTTTTGTAATCTTGGGCTACGGGGAAATTATTAAATTATTAAATGGAGAAATTACTAAATAGAGAAATTATGACCGTAATTATTAAATATTCGTTTACAAATGTTATGCACATTTGACACGCTCGGTTGTACAATATTGTAATTATTCGAATATTTTGTTATTTCGTTTTGTTTCTTTAATTGTTTATCGTTTCCACAATAATTCATACTACAATATCGGTATAATCCAGCTTTATAAAAATTATAAAAAGAAGTATAATTTCATCGTGATTCTTACTACGATATTTTCTCCGTATAATTTACCGTATATTTAGCGTCACACACGCACACACACACACGTACTGTGACAAGCATTGAAATAATTTATCGATTTGCTTCTCGAGGTCACAAACATCATCGGAGGACCAAAAATAAAACGCAACGAGCACACGTGAGCACTCACTCGACGAGAGTAGAGAGACGGTCACTTTTTGCGATCGGTATCGTTTCTACGTGTCGTCCGAGCGGAAAGCGCTGACGGACGGAGAAGAGGCCGCGCGGAACACAGTGGTAGGCTGAAGGACACGTAACAGCGTGTAGAACAAGGCAGGCATAATCGTGCCTCGGAGTAATGGGTCACCTCAAAAGAAGACCCCCGAATGATACCAATTATGCCATCAACGCACCATGCCGTCTCCCCCGTACACGCCTCTGTCACAGCACAGTCACTTCGCCCGCATGTCAACCGCCCCGCTTGCGTAACCACCCTATGTGGAGAGCGCCTCGTCGTGTGTATAATACGCCGGCGGTTCTCGCGCTGGGGTCCACCGCGCGATCTCAGGATCAGAGGGAAAATATGTAATTGTCCGTATTTACCCTTGCACCCGGCACGTACTCAAACAACAACACGAGACCCCGGCACCGACTGTCGTACGGCGACGTCGATTCAATCCCGAGCACGCAGTGTTCACGGGTGAGTCTGATGTTTCCATGTTCTCACATCCTTGCACTGGATATATCGAGCGGTCGATTTAAGTTCCTTCGATTTTGTTCGCAGCGATAACAGCGGACGAAGCGAAGTAGACGGAAGGGAGACTCGCCCCGAGTTTTTGCAACAGTTCGCTCCTCTCGACGAAGGCGATCTCGCTGTGTTCTGTTGTGTTCCTCCGTATCTCGATTTTCGTTTAGTTTAAGTTCCTTCGTCGAGGGAGGAAGAGAGAAGAGATAAGAAGACGAGGGGACAACAATGACGGAGCGTCGCGCTGAGCCGAAAAACGTGGCGACGACAAGAGGAGAGCAAAAAGGAAGGCGAGTCGCGCGCGCGGCGCAGCCGAGAGCCGCCTCCCAGCTGGAGGCGGATAATCAAATAACCTGCACGCACCGTATAAATTATCAATCAGGGCGCGATTGTGCAGCCCCAACAGAGGGAGCCATCCGTGTCGGTAAGGGTTGTTACACATTGACATCGCGGAACGGCGGCGGGAGGAACGGGGCGGATTGTGTGCGACCTCGTCGTGTTGAGTGACCCCGCAACAGTTATCTTCCCTTCGTGCGTGGGCGTTCGTGAACGTGAGTTCACGCCCTCGGCTCCGGGGGACAGACGACGACGCGTGCAGGCAGGAAGACGAGGGAGGCAGGCGAGGGAGGATCGTCCCTGAGTAAGGTGAGTAAGGTGCGTTGCACGTGTGCTCGGGAGATCCCGGATAGATATGGAGCCGCGAAATTGAAAGCGGCAATCCTTCCCCCCTTCTCTCTCTCTCTCTCTCTCTCTCTCTCTCTCTCTCTTCCTCCCAGGTCGCAACCGAGTGCGCGACGTTGGGAACGCGTTGACATGAGACGGATTTTGCGTCGCTTTTAGCCCCACCGAACCCTACGTTGGTAGATACCGGGGTTGATAACGGCGTATCGCTGCGTGTTACATCTCTCATGGACCGAGTTAGACCGCGGGATCATCGGCCGTGCGTTTCGCGAATCACGCGAATCACCGACACGGAATCTTTAACATGCCGATCGTCGCACTGATTTTCATTGATCGCATGAGTGCTTAACTGATTGTCAGCTATGGTCAGCTAGACATTAGAGATGTTATTAAGTGACAACAACGGCAGGAGAAAAATTCTTGAGGGAGGGTTATCGTAATGTTATCGGGAGACGGTTCCAATTTCCCGAGCAATCGTCGGCCTTGTCGGCGCATGCAATTTGCACGCGTAATTTTCCTCAATTTCCAACGCTTCCGCTTTAACTGCGCTTCAGTCTCGTAAGACGTTTGTTACATTGACGAGGCGGCTCGATCACGTACGACAGGAGCGAGAAGCAAGCGAGTAGCCGAGCCAATTAAGCGTCGAAGGGGATCCATCCCGAGAGCCTACGGCATCGACGTATCGAAATTAATCGGCGCGGCGGCTAATTCTCCCCTGAGCTCACCGAATACCCGCTTGTGCTCGTATATACATGTACAAGACGCCCGGCAGCTCTCTTTATCCGCTGCTCTCTTCGACCGACTTTTTTCATCTTCATCTCAAATTGATCGTCCTCCGCTCATTAAATTTCTTCGAATGAAATTCCGCGCATAGAAGGCCCAGTGACAGAAAAGTCACTTGAATTCGGGTAGTTTTTCGTACAGGATAAAAACTACGTCAGATATATTTTTCAAGTTCGAAGTTTCGAAAATACAACTAAATATGGTTTATAAATTCCGTTTGCTCGAGTCAGCGCGACGAAATTAGCGTCATACGAAGCGCGGTCCGCATAAAGTACTTTCAACAAAAAAGAGGAAAAGAGGGATAGAGAGAGAGAGAGAGAGAGAGAGAGAGAGAGAGAGAGAGAAAGGGGAAAAATCCTGGGTTCGATATCCAGGACTCAATTTTACCATATTCGATATACAGTGGCGTGCAAAACTTTTGAGCCACACAATTATTATTATACATTCATTTCATAATGAACGCTAAAAACTTTACGCATATATATAAACAAAATATATTTATTTGTCCTACAATTATATAAACTTTACAAACTCTTGATAATTCTAAATACTTTATTTTTATACAATGTCTTATTATGTCAAACAGTGCAAAAGTATTGCGCCAAAAAGTTTTCTTACGCATAAGAAAAATATATTATTGAAAAATAATAACAAAAAATGTCAACGTTTTTTTAAACTTAATACTTTGTTGCCATGCTTTTAGAAGCAATCACTGTAGCACAACGACGAGGCATTTATGCTATTAAATTAGAAATGCGATCTTGAGTTAAATTTTGCCATTGAGTTTGCAAATCTTGCCACAATTCAGCTTTATTGGAGTGTTTCTTATTTTCTGTACGTAGTTTGAATTCTTGCCACAAATGCTCAGTAGGATTCAAGTCCGACGATTGCGAGGGCCAGTCAAGGGCCTCGCACTTTTTTCACGATAAAAAATTCTTTTATTAGTTTTGATGAATGTTTGGGATCGTTATCTTGTTGGAAAATCCAACCACGTGGCATGTTTCGAGTTGCATATGGCAGCATATGCTGTGTCAATATATCTCAATACATTATAGCGTCCATAGTACCCGTGATCTCAACTAATGGACCAACTCCATTATAAGAAAATGATCCCCAAACCATCACGTTACCTCCACCATGTTTTACGGTAGGAATTTGGTATCTTGAGTTATATCTTGTGCCTGTTGGACGTCGTATATACTTTCTACCGTCACTTCCGAATAACTGAAACTTTGACTCGTCAGAGAAAAGTACTTTTCGCCAATCAACTTCAGTCCAATGTTCAAATTTCCTTGCAAAATCTAATCGAGCTTTCTTATTTTTTGCACTAATTAATGGTTTTTTTACACCAGCACGTCCTAAAAATCCTATTTCCCTTAGACGTCGAGATATTGTACTTCGACTAATATCAGCAAGATTTTCTTCTCGTAGTTCTCGAGAAATATCCATGGCAGTTTTTCTAACATCTGCTATCGACTTTCTTTTAATCATTTTATCGACGCGCTTTGTAGTTTTGCGAGGTCTACCGTTTCGTGGTTTCATCAGCTAGAGAGTTCGTCAACTTATATTTAGCAATAATCCTACAGTACTTTTATCAATTAATAAGTAATTAGCAATTTCGCGAGAAACCTTTCCTTGTTGAGAAAGATTAATCACGGCTTCGCGTAACTGAAGGCTTGTATGTTTCGACATTGCGGTAGACTGAATAGATTGAACCTTATTTAAAGCAAATATTTATGAAGGAGTTTCATAAGAAACGTAAACAAACCGGACTCATAAAGTCGCAACAAGAATATGGCTCAATATTTTTGAACATATGTAAATATCATATGACTAAATAATTAGAAACTATGTAATTTCAAAATTTTGTAACTGTACTATTATTTGTAAGAATGTTATGTCAACTATTTTATATAATTAATTTTTAGAGCAAATCAATATATTGTCATGTATCTTAAAAAGACACTATGGCTCGAAACTTTTGCACGCCACTGTATATTCTCTCTCATTCCTTCGAAAGTTCTTACTAATTGATTCAGCAAGCCCCGTAGTTTTATCAATCGAAAAACTTTGTTAAGGTATTCCAACGAAAAGAAGCTTTGAGAAAGCGCACGGCGGAGAAAATGAGATCTGTGTTTGGGTTTCCTCACACTTATAATCGCATTTTCGAAACATTGCACTCTAATCTGAATCTTCTCAGATTTCCCAATCAGAGCACAAGACTTTTCTCTTCGTAAGGAAACTAAAGCTCTATACTCAAAGTCTTCAAATGACAGGAAACGTACAACTTGTGTCATTTGTAAGTTAAAATAAACTCATAACAAGTACGTACAATCAAATTAAGATCGAAATTTAGATTACTCTTACGATTTCGGGCGGGAAAGTGCAAGTTTTCGTATCGAGTGAATTTCCACTCGTTTTAATTGAGATCTCGTTCCAAGAGATACAGCTTCGAGAAGCGAGGGTCGATATAGATAACCGGGGGGGGGGCGGGAGGACGATATTTCGCCTCTTCTGATCTGCGGCGATCATAATTCAGTCCGGCCATTCCGCCTCGGCAGCGAGGCATCTTATTAACCGCGATCAGGAAACGCGAATCAGGGACGGGGGGAATAAATACGCGAGGAAATTCGGGTCGCACGTTCCGCCGTGAAGCGGAATGCGCCTATTAAATGACGGCGGCAGCGGGCACGCGCCCCCTCCCGAACAGAAAGAGAGAGAGAGAGAGAAAGAATCCCAGGGGAGACTAAATAGTTTTCTATAGCCGCAGGCAGTGCGCAATTGTGCATCGGGCCGTCGCGTGCGCGTACGTACACGATAACGGGATTCCGTGCGTTCTCACGTTCAGACGTCAATGCGCAGATGCTCGCCGTGATAATGATCGTCGAACCGGCGCCGCTATACCGCGTCGCGTTAGATCGCGTCGAACGACGAGTTAGCGGGCGGGAGGGAGGCGTGTGCATTGAAAGGTCAAAAGGCTCGGCGACGAGCAAAAGCACCACACGAGATAAGCGGCGACGACGACGACGACGACGACGACGACGACGACGACGAAAGTAGCAAGATAGTAGCGGCGAGAGAGCCTGCCGATAAATGACTCTCGATAAACGAGAACTAGAGAGATTCGCCCGTGGCCGTTGTTTATTTATCGCGGCCGAGCCGCCGGCTCCTACACGGCCGCGCGTAAATGGCCGCGGGCCTTTATTTAATAAGTTGTTATAAATTAAGGGGCTACCGCATATTAAACCACCCTCGGCATATTTATAGTGATTCTTAAGAGCTCGTATGTATGTATATGTGTATATAGTCAGCCGGCAAGCAGCAGTACGGTTATGTAAATCACTCGGTGCGCCGCGCCGCTGACTGCGCCCGCGAGCCGGACAGCAGCGCACGCCACGCACACGAGCGCGCGCGGCTTCACACGTACACGCCGCCT